AGGTTTTTAAATTATTTCCAGTTCTTGACCATTTTTCTAATTACAAAAGAGAATTGTACCTGAGCTCATCCCTAGGCCAAGCTGAGATGGACTCAGAAACTTATATTTAGGTGTGCCCCACCTCCTTCCTTCCATCATATAATGCAGCAATTCAGGAGGTTTTTTTTTTTGCCGGGGGGGAGGGGGGGTGGGGGTATGATATCCGCTCATTGATATTTGATCTCTAACTTTATTCAAGGTTTAATTAATTTGAAGGCACGGTGAAGGGACTCTGCAGACCAGGAAGCAGCCTTGGCTCTGCCAACGGCCAAGCTCTTGCTTGGATTTCCTGTACTGTAGCTTCCTCAACGATTTTAAAACGGATGTGTTAGTACTTGCCCCTAGGAATGCAGGGAGAAGTCAGATGATGACTGGATGGAAGGCTTGACAGAAGGAAAGCCATTAAAATATATATTAGAGCTAATTGCTACCTTTTCTGAAGAGTTGCATTGTTTTAAAAATAATCAAGCATTTTTTGATACTAAGATGTTTTTCACTGAAATTCTTCCAATTTTCTTGATGTGCTCATTTCAACAGAATTAAAAAACAAACAACAATCTATCATATCAGGTTAAAAAAAATTTTGACTTAGTATTTTAAATTTATCGAAATGACAGCGCAACTAAGTCAAAGCACCACAACTGAAAAATTAGGTGTAATACATTAGGTGTAATACATCTAATGCCATATTTTTAAAAAATTCTAAAATAGAAAATGGTATTTTAGTCACACCATGTAGGAACATGTTTAACACGTTAACAAAAAAACTGAAGAGGTTCTGGAGTCATATAGTTTACAGTTAATGATATTCCTTATGCTGTAATTAACTTTGGACAGCCAAATCTTCCAAAAAGATAGAAAGTAACATTAATACATTTCCTTTTCCTTGTTTTTAATTTGAATTTTATTCATTTTTAAATTGTATTTGTTTAGATGTATTCTGGTTTTATACTAGTAAAGGTGAAATAAGCTTGAAGAATTTATACCTGTTTTGTATAAATGCATGCAAAACAATGTTTTGTATAAACACATGCAAGCCACGTTATAATAAAACTAGTTTACGTCCCACTGGGGAGAAGGAGAGGATGGCCTATGAGATCACGTGCCCCTTAAAAGGGGTCCATGCTTGAAAGACTCTGATCTATATGCCTATTTCCTTTCTAAAACAATTTGCTGCCTTTGAATCTTATCACTGGTTTAACAGCAATATTTATGGTTCCATTCTGAACACACTGAGGTTAATATCTTAATAGCAAGTAACTTTAAGAGTTAAAATAAAAATGTTGATTTCACTATGTACCACATAGTTTATGGTGGCAGAATTTTATATATTATAATATATATTGTATAATTTTTAAATTAACATGCTTTTCACTCAAACCCTCAGGGTGTTTATGTGTATACACAATTGTGTTTTTAAGTAAGTGAAACTGAAGAGGCAAATCTCAGTTTTTATAACCATTATCCAAATACAACCTATAGTCAGAAGCCAAATTATACAAAACTAACACAAATTTCAGAAAAAGCATTCAAAAATATAAAACTTACTGAACTATCAAAAGCTTATCAGCAAAAAAGAAGGGTTTTGCTAATACAGCAGCTATTGCACAAGCTTAGCTCTAGATTTCAAGACCAAGCCTCTGGCATCAGGTACTCAGTTTTCTTTCAATTCTTCTATTTCCCATCTTCCTTGAGAAGCTGATCTTGCGTTAGGACATAACAGTTGAGGCAGCTGGATTTATAAGAATGAAGAAATTCATCATACTCAAGGAGAGTCCATCATCATAGAAATCTCCATCTGTATCATCTCTCTTTGCTTTCGATAAGAACCGCCCAGCCAAACTTCCACTATCAAAAGTTTGTGTAAAATATACTTCTTGTACAGGTGGAGATGTCTTATATTTAATCTCTGTAGAGGGTCCACCTTCATTAACATCAATCTCTTCTGAATTTTCATCAAATTCTTCCATCTCAACACCATCATCCATAAATTCTGCATTAATTGAGATGAGTAGAAGACCCAAACATGGCCAAAAGCCTTGGAAACGCATATTGCTCATCTGTCTTGCAGGCCTATTTTCAGCAGCGACAGCTCAGATGTCTGAGTTGCTGTCGCTTGGTCCCCATGTCTCCCCAGACCTAAAATATTTTTAATTGATGATAGTTAGACTATCCAAGACAACTGGATTTCACATATTTCTACTGAAAACATGCACAAAATAAATATTTCTTCTTTTCTATAATAGGATAAACAATATCTCATGATTAAAGATAGGTACGCATTGAAATTCTTTCAGATAATCTGGAATGAAATGTCACTTTTTTCTATTCTGAGTTTCTCTCTGGTGAAAGAATAAACAGGACGATAAAAAGTTCAAAGTTCTCTTCTCAGTTGCTGCAAGCTGCCTACTCTGTAGGTTGCCATATGTATTTGCATAATAGAAGGCAGACTGTGATAAACATCATTCATGAGTCTGTCTGGTTTTTGTTTCTTCCATTTCATGGACTATCTAATCTCAAAGTTCTCAAAAATCACTTAATCCAAGATCCTTTCCTAGACAACAACTACAGAGATTGCTTTTTTGTGTGAATCTCCAAAAGGCTATAATAACAATTTAAAGCGAAAGATGAGGCAAAAGATATCTCTGAAAATTACATTTGAAGAAGGGAGAATGTAAATGGAATTAGCTATTCCAAGTGTTGAGAAATAGGACCAAGTTTGGGGGTTAATTCATTTAAATCCCAACTTTTCACTCAAAGTTATTCAAAATAATATCTATTTCACACTGGATTTGTTGCCAAGCTTATCTTTTTAAAAGTACAATAATATATGCTTGCTGTAAAAATTTCAAACAGTGCAGAAAGAATGAGAAATACCCAAACCCTAAGTACCTCACCCCTGATCCCCCAATCCTATCCCCAAGGTAATCACTTAACAATTTCTTGAGTCTCCTTCTAGACACTTTCAGTGCATATACTGGCATATATTTCCTTAAAACACACACAACATGGAATCATAATATACTCTGTTCTATAACCTGACAATACTTACAGCTGATTTATAGTAAAGTAAGCTATGAAGTGCGGTGGTTTTCCTGCGGGGCTGTCAATGTGCTGTCTTTGTGGGGCAGTTGAGAGAACATCAACAAGGCCATTTCTTATAATGTGAAATCCTGAAAATGAATGTGGAGGGTGCCAGGGCTTTTATGCCCAGGTCTCCTCCTGAGCAAGAAAAAATCATCATGGCTTCCCCTCCACTCACTTAAAAACTTTATGGAAGGAAACTACACGGCAGGTGCTGGCCAGGCTCTGGGGATTCTGAGCCCCGTCAGACACGGCCCTGCCCCCACGGAGCTTTACAGTCTGCTCGCCCTACAAACCACTGCCCCCTTGAAAGCATCTGCTCACCAACTCATTCAAGCCAACCTTTACTGAGCACCCATCATGAACCAAGGGCTATTTTAGACACAATAAACACAAAGACGAACAAGGTTCCAAACCCGCCCTTAAGGAACAGTCAAATGGGGAAACAGATTATTCTATTACCATGAGAGCAGTGTGAAATGCGCATGGTGCTAAGATGATGCAAGACGTGGGGTCAACCACTTAGCTTTGGGGGGGCCAGAAAAGGGGGTTGAGAAGCCTTCCTGAAGTGCACAGGGGGAGCTGGGGTGGGGTTATTTCAGGCAGAGGGGCTAACGCCAGCAGATACCTCCTTCGTGGCATGCAGGGAAACCACAGCAGTTTGGGGCTTCTGGGGCCTCCGAAGGAGGGTCAGATGTGGAAGGCTTTGCAGGCATCTAAAGGACTTCAGACAGATCCTAGGTCATGGGGAGATGACTGATTTAGGCACAGGACTGGGGGAGCATAAAGGATCGGAGAGCTCACTCTTACAGCTGTAGGAGGCCAGGAAACCATCCAGTAGACTGTGTCCAGAGGAGAAATGATGAGAACCTAAACCCGGGCGGGGGTAGAAGAGAGAGACTAAAGAGATTCTTAGCAGGTAAAGCCATCAGGGCGTGAAAACTAACTGGATGTGCAGTTTAAGGAAAAGGGAGGGGTTAGGGACAACTCCCAGGCTTAACATGGTGGTGCTTGGTAGATGGAAGTCCAGTCTCTCCAGAAGTTAGGTTAAAAGAGATTTTTTTAAAAATTTGCACGCTCTGCAAACCTCTTAACTGATACGTTCCCCTCAGCATAAAAGCCTTTTTCTATCTTAAAATAAACACTCTCTAAATTCTGTGTTCTCCTCCCATCTTCTTAAAATAAGCAACAAATCTTCCTCACCGCCCATTCCATCTTCAACTTACCACAGTCTGCCAGGGTCCCCAGAATCTCCTGAAGCTGCTCTAGCGAGGATCACCTGGGAGAAGGGCCCTTTGCAGGCCCACTCCCGACCTCTGCAGCACTCGGCTCCAACGGCCAGGCCCTGAAACCCTCTGCCTTTGCTTCCCGATGTTGCGCGCTCTCCACATGTCCTTCAGCCCCATACAGTGCTCCTCCACTGGCTCCTACTCCTCCCATCCCCTATTCCTAGAATCCAGTTCCATCTCAGGTCCCCTTCTCTTCACATCCTCCATAAGGGAACCTATCTCCACCCATGGCCTGACCTCCATCTTCAAGCTGAAGTCTCAATTCCAATGTCATTCTTCCTAAATTCCAAAATCGGGTATCCAACTGCCCATATTCAGTCCCATCAAATTTGTCCAAAACTCATCACTTCTCCGCTCCTATATTCTCCACCTTGGCAAACGGAGCCGCCATCCATTCATTCACCAAAGCCTGATATCTGGGAGGCACAGATGGCTCCAGCCCTGTGGCACTGTTGTGCGGTGCACAAATGCACTACTCATTGCCCCCTGCCTTTGCATTGCTGTTCACTCCGGTCAAAATGCCCTTCCTTTCTCTAAAAAACATATTTGACACATATAAAACATTATATACAAAGTCATCATCCCACATTTTTGCTTATTATTCCATTTTGCCTTTATTATTTTTACAATATATTTAATACATGTATTAAGTACATCAATACATACAAAACTGTATATGTTATATATTAGTCATAAAGCAAATATAATAAACAACCATAAAACAACCCAAGAACTAGAACCTTACTAATAACCTGCATCTATCTACGAGTCCCTCTGCTATCCGCTCCCTCTGCTTCCCCCTCTTGGGCATAACCACTAGGCTAAATTTTGGTATATTGTTGTTACTTTTTTTTTTTTTACAATATAGTTTTACCATTTATGTATGCAGACAATATACTCTTTGGTTTTGATGGTTTCTGAGCTCAAGAAAAATAGTTTCATACCAAATATGGTCTCCTGGAACTTGCCTTTTTTCTCAATATTTCCTGAGATTCATTCTTATTATCAGGTATAGCTGTAGTGCATTCATTTTCACTATTGAATACTATCCCTTAGTATGAATATACCTAACTTACTTATTCTTTTCCTACAGACAGGCATTTCAGCTTTTCCAGTTATTAGCAATCATGAAGATGTTACTGTGAACATTCTTATACATACCTCCTGGTACACATGTGCACGAGTTTATTGGATATACAACCGGGAGTCTGAGTCATAAGCTAGATCCTAAGGTACGCAAATGTTCAACTCTGTGAGGTATAATCTAGAAGAGCTGAGGTGCCAGTTTACATACCACACAACGTACAAGTTCTCATACATCTTCTTTAGCACCCAGACTGTCAGACTCCTTAAATTTTGCAAATCTAATGGATGTAAACCGGAATCTCATTTTGATCTTAATTTATATTTCTCTATCTCCAATGCCCTGGAACATCTATCTATTTATAAGCCCCATGTTTCTCCTCTGTGAAATGCCTTTTCACATCTTTTCTATTGAGTTTTTTTAAAAATAGGAATTCTGTATATATTCTGCTTACTAATCCTTTGTCAGTTAATTGTATTGTAAATATCCCAAGTCATGGCTTGTCTTTTCACCACTTTGAATTATTTATTAGGTCAACATAAATCCTTAGTTTTAATATTGTTGATTTAATCATCTTTTCTTTTATGATTAGTGCTTTGTGTCTCAAGAGATTCTTTCCTGCCCTAACATTTTTTTCATGCAAACATCTAAACATTTGCTTTTGGTACTGAAGACTGTAATGTATTTGGAATTGATTGTTAGGTAAGGTGTAAGTCAGAAGTCAAATTTCATTTTTTCCATATGGTAACCATTGTTCTAGCACTACTTGAGTCATCCTTGTTCCCAGTGATCTGCCATGCCACCTCTGTCATATCTCAAAGGTCAACATATGCATGGCTTATTTTCCAGGCTCCTTATCTCATTGCACTACTCAGAATACCTATCTCTGCAGTATATACAACACCATTTCTACAATAAAACTTACTATCTTCTGAGGCAAGTCTCCTCAGGCTCTGCTTCATATCTGGAAGCATTCAGTCATTCTTAGTCCTTACCTATTCCATATAAGTTTAAGTATCTGCTTATGGTAACTAAACCTCTGTTGGAACTTCTTTTGGAAATGGCATTGAATCTAGAGATCAATTGGGGAGATCTGACATCTCTACAACTTGTAACAGTCCCACTCATGAAAAAAGATGGCTCTTCACTAGTTCCCACTTTGCTTCTTCATCTTCATCCTGTAAGTCCCAAATCGGGCCTCAGTCTAAACATTGCCTTCTCTAAACCTTTCTACCACCATCCCAACTAAAGTAGGGGAAGTGTGTCCTTTATATGCAATTTTTTTTAGATAACTGTAACAGTCCAAGAAAACAATGATATGAGTTCGAAGTTTGTTAGCTTCAGTGGTGGCACCATTCTTCATTGTTGAATACATCAGAATTTGAGAAGAATACAATGAGGCTAGTTTGGGACACACAGTCGGAGGTGTCTGCATGTCCTCCTGGAAGAGGCTGTTGGATGCATGCTATGCTCTTCATGACAGAGTTTGGACGGAGATAATGATTCGATGAGACTGCCTGTTAAAACTATACAGGCCAAGAAGACAACTGATAACTGGCCCTTGAGGACACCAGGATTAAAATGGGCAGAGGGAAAGAAAACTATGGAAATGGCTGAGAAACTATCAGAAACACAGAAGGTTAACCAGAAGAATGACGTCAAGGGGGAGCCAGGGGAAGAAGAATTTTGAAGAAGTGGTCAAAACTATCCAAACCCATTGAGAAGAAAAATCACTGGAAAGACCACTGGATCTAACAATTAAGAAATCATTAATGACAGAACAGATAGGTTAAAAACCCTAACTTCAGGGCCGGCCCCGTGGCCGAGTCGTTAAAGTTCTGCATGCTCCACTTCGGCAGCCCGGGTTCGCAGGTTCAGATCCTGGGTGCAGACCTATTCCACTCATCGGCCATGCTGTGGAGGCAAGTTAAGGGCAAATGACGCCTGAAAAGGTATGTCACTCTGCAAATAAACATGTATATACTGCAGATATGTAGGATTATCATTTCCTAAGTCTTTTTTCCCTTTCACCTCCAATGTACGTGAATGTATATTTGATATAACTGCTTTGGGGGCAAAGTCAACTTATATAACAAGAGGTGGGGTGGGGGGGCTGTCACTCAGAAAATGAGTACTGATGGTGCATGTGACATAGGAGGCAGCTTCTCCTTCCCAGTCACAGTGTTACATGGGGTCTAATCCCAGAAAGGGTACCTAGCATATCCAATTCAGTCACTACCACATGCAGTTCCCCAATAGCTTTTCACCATTAATCTCATATCCTCCCCTTTCCATGAGCACAGCTGCGTGCTGACCTGGAGGGGCTACCCCTACAGAAGCTACCGTTCACCAAGCACTCACCGTGTGCCACATCCCTATCACCTGCCTTATGTGCATCATCTTGTTCAACCCACCCCTCACGCCCACGAGATAGGAACTGGTACTATTGTCCCCATTTTACAGATGAGAAAATAGTGTTGGAGAGCTTCAGTAACTTGCCTATGTCATACAGCAAGTAAGGGGCACAGGTGAAATAAGAATCCAGGTATGCCTGACCTCAGTGCCCACGTTCTTACCATTTCCCCTGAAATAACTGAGAACAAGGCAACGTGCTATCCCTAAGTTGTATGAGTCTGGAGGTGGTTCAGTGCAGAAGAGGAAGAACTGAGTATAATTATGCTGTTCACCTGTCCAAATCTGCACAGGACACCATGGCTCAGCCGAGAACCTGCTCAATTCTGGACACAACTAAAAGATGTTAATGACCCTGAACAGCACACTCTCTCCCCACCTCCTTGTTTTCCTTAGGGCTAGGGACTATGAACTTATGAGAGGACAAAAATGCTTAGAGAACACTACTGCATTTGACCGCACAGAGCAGACATCCGGAGCATTCCTGAGAAGCCAGCAGGGACAGCGCGCCTTTTGCCAAAGGCACTTCTGCACCCATTTAATCGGGCCTTTAGAAAACGAGGCGTTCCGGAAAGAGAGCAGAGTTATCCTTTCTGCCCTGTCCGAGTTGACCGTCATAACCATTACAACTAAAATGCCCCATTTCTCACAGCGTCATTTTGCCACAGGGTCATATTTCTCTATACATTTCTCTATTCAACTGAGTTTCAGGCTTTTTTCTAAGAGAAGGGGGGGAAAAAAAGAACAAGTGGCCTAGATTCAAGGTAAAAATGAAAAAAGCAAGCTGACTTGCTTTGAAATGCAAAAGATCTGTACTTCCATCTTGTCCCAGTCCCCAAGGGACCAGGGACACCACCAGCGTTCTGCTCGCTGCTCTTCATTCAAGGTCCCCTGAAAATAGCTGCTTGTTTCCAAGGGCCATGGGGAGACCCTGCTCCTCTAGAAGGTTCCACCAAACTTCCCAAACCTGAAGCAGGTAAATGTCGGCCAGACGCCGAGGGGCGTGCTGCTGCTGCTGCTATCATTTTGAAGGCACTCTGGGTTGTATTTCCTTGAAGATCATCAAGTACAGCGAAGGTGAAAACAAAGTTAGTCTGTATCGTATCCCAAAATGGGTCCAAGCCATTTCTCAACCTCAGCCACAGACATGTTCTTCCTCAAAGCATAATCCTCAATCTGCAAAAGATTAAAAGCAGCTTATTAAACCAAAATGATAAGACTTTTTGAATTGAAGTTTCCACAGGATTTGCCAAAAAACATTAAGTACCTTCTATTTCTTGTCTTAATAGCAATCTACTGAGTTACATGGAAAGAGACACTTATCTATTCACCAAGCTTCCTTATTCTCTGGGCAGAAAAACTACATGTAGTAAATTTCTGATGCTTAGAAGCTGGATGAGAGGGTGAGTGTGTGTATGGGGGGCTCTGTGTGTAGATGGGAGGACTAGAATCTGAGTAATGGGTTGAAAGGAAATTAAGACCTTAAGTGAGGTAAATTTCTTCATCCTTTCACTCTCATTTTATTTTCTTTCATGTGTAAAATATAAAATAGGTTCTAGAGTTCCACTTAAGACAGGTATCTAGGGAAGTCATACACAATGAAACAGCTAACTTACCTGATCCTTGGAAATTTTCCCCACAGAAAAATATTTGGACTTCAAATTGGAGAAGTAAAGGCCAGATACTGCTGAGGCAGGTGCCATTGCTAATGATTCTGTTAATCTGATGCCTAGAGAGAGGAACATGGGGAAAATGCTCATTTATTCAGTGCCTAGCACAGGACCTGGCAGTCAGTAGGCACCCAATTAACTTTTGCTGAACAAGTGAATGAAAGTGAATTCATGCCTTCTAGGTGGACACATGACACAGTACGAAAGATGTGATCAGACCCATCTAGCAAATTGCTGCCAAGGGGATGAACAAACTCAGGACGTGCAGATCTCCTCTAACCCAGGGGGACAGGCGTGGAAAAGACTTCCTATACTCCTACCCCCAGGCCTCCACGGTCAGTTACAGAGGCGCCCATTTGCTCCAGCCTTGGAGATGAGAGCACCATCTGAACCTCCAAGGACTCCTGTGGGGCCAATGCTACCAGGGACCCATTAACAATGTGCCCACAATGGCACTTAGAAAGAAAAGATACTTTTTCTTAGGAGTTTAGAACTCAAAGGGAACATTAAGGCTATCTAGTCCAAGCCATTCATTTTACGCACAAGGAAACAGTGCAGCACAAAGGTTAAGTGCTTTGCCAAAGATCTCCCAGCTGGCTTACGGCAGAAACAGGACTCAAATCCATATCTCACAACTCCTACTCCTGCTAATGCGGATTCAACACAGCCTCACTGTTCCTCACTTAAATCTAGATTCCTTTAACTCCATCAGTATTGATGGCATGCTTTTGAGTAAGTCCACTGAAATTGTTAATTGTGTTAATAACAGCGTAAAGGTAAAGAGAGAAAGCTGAAGGGACGAGTGGGAGTTGTGCAAAACCAGTGCCCAGAGACACTGTCTATAAGCAATGGGAGGAGAAATTAACGTGAAATGTTACTAAAGGTTACAAAGGTCACTAATGGAGAGAGTAAAAGCAGTTAACACACCTGTAACGGGAAAATGGGGCAGGAGATGTATGGGGTAATATGAGTAGCTAAATTCCCATCTGTTAGAGGTTAAGAGAAAATAATTAAAATTGATAAATCTTAAAATGGTAAAATAGTAATGTAAGAATACTATTCAATAACATGGAGGTAAAATACTAGAATAGCTAGCTAGGAGTGAGAAAGGATGGGATTAGGGATGATTTCATTATAAGCCTTTCCATATTTTTAAATTTTTAACCATATGCACCATTACTTTGATAAAAGTGTATCTATTACATAAGGAGAGGGAGGTGCTCGCCTCCTCCTGGCACACACCTGTGCACCGCTCGATGTCAGCCAGTCTCCACATGGTGAGCTTCTCAGTGTGGTCAGGCTGGCTGGGGTAGCCGGGAGCTGGGCGGATGCCCTCGTAGCGCAGCCTTCGCAGGTCAGCGATGTCCAGCTGCTCGCTGCCGCAGTAAGCCCAGAGTTCTCTGCGGACCCTTTCGTGGAGCTCCTCCGCAAAGGCCTGGGAGCCCAGAATGAGGCGTGCTTAGGCAGAGGCAAGAGCCCTCAGCGTCAGTGCCCCCCACCCTCTCAATCAAAGTCATCCAGAGCACGTCCCTCACCTGGACCACAGGGAAAATGCGACTGGATTCTCGACTCGTTTGTAGTTTCATTAGCTGCTCTGCTCCTCAATTTTGGGCTCTGAAGCACCTTATTCAATGATGTGAGGAATGCAGGCCTTTTAACTTAAACATTTCCCTCACTGTCAGTCTAGAGCTGACGGTGGCCAGAAAGAGACGTTGGGACCATTGTTAGCCTCAGGGAGAGGGGAGAGGACCTCCCCATGGCTTAGATTACCCCATTCCATGCAGAGGAAGATGAGGAATCTACAGAGGATATCAACGTTAGAATGAGGAGTTCTGAAATAAAAATCCGTTTTTAATTTTTTGGGCTCTTCAGGAAAATGTCATGACAAGCAAAGGGAGATATCAGAACTAAGGCAAAGAGGTCAAGATTCTAAGGGTGACTACCACCTACGGCATTGCTGAAGGTTTTTCTTTGCCCAAAAGATGATGTGTGAGGGCCCAACCTGGTGGCGTAGTGGTTAAGTTTGCGCGCTCTGCTGTGGCAGCCTGGGGTTTGTGGGTTTGATCCCGGTCATGGACCTACACACCATTCGTCAAGCCATGCTCTGGTGGAGCCCCACAGACAAAACAGAGGAAGACTGGCACAGATTTTAGCTCAGGGCCACTATTCCTCCCCAAAATAAAAAGATGCGTGAGAGCAATTCAAGAATTCATAATTTAAAATATGTGCGATGTTAAAGCCAGCCTCCTCCAACATGGAAAAAGAAAAAGAAGACACTGATTCTAAGGGTTGCTTAGCTTTTTGGCACCCGTCATGGGTGCTGTCCTCAGTGCACTGCTGCTCTACCTCGGCCAGCCGGTCCCCCAGTGCCTTGACCATGATGCTGCTGTAGTCATCACACTCCCCCTCATAGGTCTTGCTCAGCTCCTCCACCCCAAAGCAGGCAACGGCGAACAGGCCCAGGTAGTCACGGATGCCTGAATGCAGGGGAGCGATGAAGTCGGACAGGCAGTGGTATGGGTCTGTGCTCGCAGAGTCTTTCTCGGCCTTAAAATCAAAGGAGTCGGTGGAGGGATCATCAGCATGGGCACGGCACCAGCACACAGTGAACAGCATTCTGGTATCTTCAAATGAATATGAGCTTCAAACTGGGATGTCTGTTTTGCTCACTGTTACATCCCTAGCACTTAGAATCGTGCCTGAGTATTCAGTCAATAGTTGTTGAATAAGCAAATAAAATGAAATTTCAAAGAATATATGGCATGATATAACATGCATAGTCAGGAAACCAATTAATTCGCTCCTTTACACACTCGCCAAACATTTTCTGAATGCCTACAGGTACTGTGCTGGGATCTGGAACCCTAAACATTCATATAAAAAGAAGTTTTTCCCCAAAAGTGTTTTTAATTCAAGATCAACATTAAATTCTGAAGTTAAGTTTGAGAAGGGTCCACTCAATGTATAAACCTTGACTTTGCACCAACAGAAGCAGTTCAACAAACTGCTGAGTCAGCAACACAGGGGCCGTGGCTGCCCGCCACAGGCGGGGGTCAGGAGACAGCGAAGGACTCCCTGGGTGGGCCCGAAACTGGACAAAGAATTCAGGAGGCTCTGCCTCTGGGACGTTCTCCAGAAGGCCAGGTGCCTATCCTCGCCCATTTTTCATTTTCAGCCAATGACTGACCCTTCCCTGTTACTAAGCTGGCAAATAAGGTCTTACACGTATTTCACAAATAGTAAACATTTGCTGAAAGATAAACAGCTAATAACTAATATTTATTAAGTGCTTACTATATGTCAGGCACTATTCTTGGTGCTTTATATGAATTAGCTAATTTAATCCTCTCAAGAATCTCGTGAAGTAAGTGATACCATCAGCTCCATTTTACAGACACAAAAGCTGAGGCAGAGAGAGCTTGATTAACCAGCTCAAGGTCAGACAGGGGCTGGCCCAGCGGTCTGACACCACAACCAAGGCCCTTGACCACTATCCGGCACTGCTTAGAAGTGATCAATTAATCAAGGAGTGGCCAACCCAGAAGTTTCAGAGCTATTTGCCTGCCAGCTCTGGAAACAAGTACAGCCTAATTGACACTGGGCAGAAAATGATTAAGTGGCTGTAGGCAAAAAGCTGTTTGATAATGGCACGTGGAAATGTCAGAGAGCTCAGGGACAGCGATGCAGGGAGGAGCCGCTTTCCAGTGTACTCTGCCTATCACCTGTCCTCTGCTAACAAAAGCCAGAGAGAGACACAAAGCTTCCCGGCACCACAGGAGAGACAGGTCACAGAGCCCCACGGCACTTCAGAAGAGACAGCGATCAGAGCCACTCAGAACAGAAGACTCCCAGAGCAGTAAGACACTGCAGCCAGAATTTTCCAGAGTGTACTGGAAGAAAGCACCTCTTTAGAAGTGTGTATCTGAGTAGGTGATATACGTACACTGAGAAGTCACTATATTAAACGCCCTCCTACAGTCTGTCACAGACTGCCTGGACATGAATGGTACTGGACATAAAAAGAAATCAGAAGATAGAGGATTTGAAGGATGAAAGACTGGGCCAGGGAAGAGGTTTCTGACCTTAATAACACCTGTAAAAGAGAAATCACCAATTCCCTAGTGAGGAGGGGCTGGATCTTAGCATCAGAACCCCAGTGCCTTGTACTCTGTGGTGTCCGAGTCTGAGTGCACACAGTAAGGATGTAGCTGCTGTCATTTAACTTGCCGTGGTACTGTTTAATGTCCCAAACTGAGGAATCACTTCAGATGTTGTTACGCTTAGAGTATCTATCATTATGAATTATACTGTGGTTATAATTAAAAGCAATACTATCACTTTTGAATGACTGAAAACGGCAGTGAAATTCTGCAAGAATAATTTACTACAGTCCTTTGTTAATGACTAGCGAATGTCCTTGATTAGGACAACTATTTTTTTGTAGCAGCTAAAGGGACATGCAAACGATCTTAGCACTTTTAGAGGTGGAGGCATATGAGAGGGAGCCGTGTTGAGAAGAGCCTGTTCTCATCACACTGAAGGAAGCTGGTGCAGTGAAGGAAGAGCCATCCGGGTGCAGACAGGCTGGGCTCTCCCCGCTCAGCTGTGGGACTTAGCACAAGCCCACCAGCCTTCATTTTCTCCTCTGTAGAATGGAAACATAAACTGACCGACAACAAGGCTGTGTGGAAAGTAAACAAGATGGTCCATCACGCGCCCTGCTAAGCACTTGGCATCTAGTGGGTTCAGCAAATGTTTGCTCCTGCATGTCCTCCTCTTAAGAAAGCAAGCCATCAGCCTATTTTAATAATGCACATGCATGCAAACCAATGTTTTTGAACAAGTAATTGTTCATCTGTATGTGACCATCCAAGGCAGCAACGTTTCTCATCCACCTGTCCAACATAACTTTAAACACCTCTCTCCTGCTGCCTGAGAGGCCAGCCTCAAAACCCACGTTGGCATCTTCTCTCCATTGTCCCCACAAACGCTTTGGGCTTGGGCCTGTGAGTGGTCATTTGGGGTGAGATGGGGCAGAGGTATCATTTACACAAAGCTCAGACTTATTCATGGTTTTTTTAGTGCTTAAACCAAAAAGCAGCAGCAGTGTGTTTGCTGTCAATATGGTTCTCCGTACCTGTTGCCTCAGCCCATAAAAGGTGGCAATGGGCTCTGCAGACTGCGGCTCTGCGTCCTCTGCATACAGGCAGATGTCATCTTGCACACTCTGCGCCGGCCAGAACCCAACCACGCCCCTGGCTTGAAGTTTCTTTTGACTAATCAATGCTTTCAGCATATTTTGGGCATCATCATAGACTCTTTTGGCCTCTTCACCTTTTAGGAAATATAAGAATTCACTTAAAGATGCCAAAAATAACCAGCAAAGAATGCTCCTTTTTAAGACCACTACCCCTCCTCAGCCATGTTCTCTCTTCGCGCCTCTCTTTTCCCCTCAAATCCTTTCTCAGCGTTTGTCATCAGCGCAACTGAAGGTGGAACAGCTAAGGGTTCAGCGGTTTCTGCTAAGTACAGCTCCCATAGTCTGTTTTCCCAGCTCAAGCCACTGCAACTTTCCCATTTAACAAAAGGCAGAGCGCCAAATCTGTGGCTTCCCAAAGCAGTCTGTCAGACAGAGAGTGAAACAAAGCAGGCCAAATCCTTCCGTCACTGACAGTCCTCGTGCACACAGAACTCCACTGACCTCACGTGAGCCTGGGGATGTGGAATAGGCGGAGGGTGAAGCGTGGCCCCAATCCCGCTGAAGTGGCGTCAGCGCTGCACCTGGACGGCCTCAGCTCGGGCCCCTGCACGTTGTCACCTGCACAGCAGGAGCCAGGCTCCCAGGACACCCTCCTCTTGGTTTTGACTCTAGATGTCAGGCTCCTCTTGGCCCTAATCCCACACTTCTGCCAGTGTATCCCTCCACCTTGCTCTAATCTGGCTATCACCTAATCCTTCGAATGGCTTAGCATCTGGAGCCCATGTCTCTAAGGTAAATTTTGGGGGTAGGGTTGGGAGTGAGAAGCGGGGCTAGCAGCTTATCGACTCACCCACTCTCTAGCTTATTGCCCCAAGTCCTCCTCCCCCCACCAATGCTCCAGGCACAAAGGACTCCTTGCAGGCCCCCAAATTGGCACATGTGTCTGTGCCTTCTCATATTCTGTCTCCTCTGCCTGGAATGTCCTTTTCTTCGATGCCATCTCACGTCCCCAGTCCCAGGCTCAGTAACTCCCACCTAATCTTCAAAAAGCATCTCAAACACCACCTCCTCCAGGAAGCCTCCCCTGACCTCCTAGTCTGAGGTCTATCTCATCTTGTGTCCACAGAAGCCTGGGCTCAACCTCGCAGCAGGTGCTCGGCATGCTGTACGGGAATTACCCGTCACTGTGGCTGCACCAGCTAGCCAGGTCCCAGAGGACAGGGGTTATACATGTCTTCTTTTGTTTATTCCCAGAAGAGCCTGGCATGCAACTGATGTCAATAAACATTTATTAAAAGAATGGATAAACAGAAATGCCAAATTTAGCTGATAAATAAGGACCAAGCCAGCAATTTAAAAACCATTAAAGAGTTGAGCAGGTAAACAATATCCTATGCTATAACAATAAACTATACCCTGCATAATCCACACCCACTGCTCACCACTTAGTCTCGTCTCCAAAGTCTCAGACTGTCTCAACTGTCAGAGCAGGAAGGAGGGACTTAGTGAACTAACCTACAGTTTTGTCGTTAAAGATCTTGGGAAAGCCTCGATTCGGGTACTTGCCCCGGAGCTGCCAGACATCAAAGAAAGGCTTCCAGTCAATGTAGTCCACCAGCTTCTGCAGGTCATAGTCTTCAAAGACCCGAGTCCCAAGAAACGTGGGCGTCACTATGGGAAAGAAGTACCATTGTCAACACTACCACCAGGCGCCCGGGGCTGAGCAGCCCTCACACGTAGCGCTGCTTTCTAGAGGCCTTCCTGGTCGGCTCTCTCCTGCTCTGTTGGCTCCCACACTCTGCCTCCCTCCTGTCACTCGTACGAGTTGTTTTACAAAGAGGAGAACTTTAAATTATCGTAGAGAAGGAGTAATTCTGCAACAAATCTTAAATAAAACGATTCTTCCCATGCAGCTGACTGACTGCACCACCCATGGAAACTCTCCCGTCAACCCTTCCACCCCCGACCCCGCATAAGGAAAAATGAAAGACTTGGGTTAATCTTCACTTGTACAAATGAAGACAATATAAAATACAGACCATTGTAGAAAGACATACATAGTAAGCCACTTATATATAGCGTAAAAACATGACACAATAATCTGTACTGCCTACTGACACACGTACACATAGTCAAAGGGTGAGGAAGTGCACGGCAGCGAGGCATCAACTCAGGACCTAGTGGGGGAGGGAGGGGCGCAGGGCCTCCCACTGCACATGTACTGTTTGCTTTTTAAAATGGACAGAAGGTTCTTTCTTAAGTGGTTAGCGGGTATACATGGATGTTCAGCATATTGTTCTTTATACCTCCTCGTGAGTCTAAAATACGCCCTACGTTAAATAATGGTGAAGACATCCGAGACAGATGGTGCCACTGGGCTTTTTGGGATTTCATGAGCAGCAATACTGCCCCCGACCTCACCACGCCCGTGGCGGGGTCAGGTCAGAGTCCCAGGGACTGACTCTGCAGCCAGCTTCCTAGCCCTCTTGCCCTCAGTTTCCTGATCTGTGAATAGGGATCGGAGAACTTAGACTATACTGACAATCTCAGGGGCTCTGGGATAACACAAAAGTCTCAAGAGTGCTTTCTTCATTGGATGGTAAAAGTGAGAGGAGAAAGTACGAGCAGCTTCTTAATTTTGCCCGGAAATCTCTACCTTTTCATACATGTTGACAGTAACTCTTGCCCACTTGCACCTGGTCTTTTTACCACACAGGATGATCCCTTCCGTGTAAATATTCTATTGTGCTGATTCCTTCGGTAACTGAGAAGGAACTACCAACATCCTCCTGCCGACAGCCCCCTCTTGCTCTGCAGCAGCACCAAGGGACGTCATCCCTGAATAAGCTTGTCTTCCAGAGGTTAAGATTTGCTTGCGGTTTTACCGCCAAGGATCGTGGAAAAGAACCCTTCTTCCTCCCTTTACCGACTTCCTGCAACTACCCTAGGACTGGGTTGCCCTCCAAAACATTTCTGAGGGCCGTACCTCAGGGCCTCCAGCGCCCTGCAGTGGGTAGGGGCAGGGCCTTGCAGGGGCCCCGATGGGGGTTAAAACGGACACTCAAAAAGTGTCAGCCCCGCTGCCTGGCTCTGTGGGCCTCAGAGGACTATTTCCACCAAGATGTGCTTTGGAGGTTTGACTTGGTTAAAATGGACGTCCCCTTGAGATATTTTTCCAATTTCACAGTGAAAGGTAAAGAGAAAATAATAGTTGGAACTATATAGTGATTTACATTTTTCAAAAGTTTTCACATATTGTTTTGTCCTCACAACATTTCCATAAACTCACTCCTTTTTTTACACATTAGAAACTGTCAAACACAGAAGTAAGATGCTCAGGGTCACTCCGTGGTTCAGAGCCAGGAGCTGAGCCAGGATTAGAACCCAGGCATCCTGGCTCCCAATCTGCATTCTTCCCACTAAGCCTCACTGAACCCAGCAGGACAGAAATTAGAACCAAGCTCACCGACATTTTCAATTTAATCCTCTCAACTCTGCTGAGCACGTGTAGAACACAGATGTTGCGAACAATGAAAGCTGATTTGAGGTATTACCTTGGAAATATGGATTCAATTAATATAACCCCTATTCGCCCTGTCTTAGTTTTGCATTTGTATCTCATGCATCTCTGAGCCTGTCAAAACATCTTACACATTTTATTCCCTTGTGAACACCTATGCAAGGCAAAAAAGGTGGCTAGAAATAAGAAAGGGAAGAAACCCGATAAAAGAAATAAAAAGAGGGAAGCATCCAGAGAGAGAATGAGAGCATGAACAAGAAATAGGAGACCCGGCTCTGCTGAAATGATTTAAAGGTCTGTTCAACGCAAAGGCATTTTCAATTTCAGACATTCCATGTCTGCACTTGGGCCCGCCTGGACCCAGGCCAACCCAGTGACCGTACCACCCAGGCAGGTTTCTAGAACTTGCTTCGAGCCGAAGGGGGTTCACTCAAGCACAGCACAGAGGAAAGAATATAGGTTTACAAGACAGATCACAGAGAATCCTAGTAACCTTTCAGGTTATTACCTGAAACCCAGTTTCTTCAAATTAAAGTGGGGACAATAGCACATTCATTACAGAGTTGTGTCAAGGGCTCAGAGCCGCTGCAGGTCAATCTCAGGGCAGTGTTTGGTCCTCCATAAATGGTACCCATTTCCTTTTATTTTTAATCATCATTGTCATTCATCATCATTAGACACAATTAAGAGTTTCTAGCTGCCTGTTTGATTCTATAGCCAAGTAAATGCAAAGGGCTCTTCGGCTCACAGTTAGCACACGCAGCCCTTCTCTAACCAATAGCCAGACAGACCTGGGGGAGGCTCTGACAGCCAGTCAATATGGAAACCGTTTTTTCTAGCTTGACTTAAAGTTAAGTATCTTCTCTCCTAGGAAAAAAAGAAAAGTTGCTTAGTCAGAGACTCTTAGCTTTTCAGCTGCTACCCTGAAAGTATGTTCAAGAAAGCTAGTACATAAGTTTTTCAAGAAAACAAATATTTTTATTAATGAAAATTCAAGCCCTAAAAAGCTCTTCCTTTTCCATCCAATATGGCTTCACATCAGCACCAGCACAATAAAGACTCATTAAATATCCACTGAATATTGATATGTGAATATAAGGCTGACCTGCAGCCTTGACCGTGGGATGAACATGGCAGTGGAGCGGTCTCCTGCCTGTGCTTTAGAACACCTGAGGCCGGGGTTAACTGGCCCGCTTTCCACTGCCCCGAGGACCAGAAGGCAGAACTGAGAAACTGTCAACTGTGGGCAAACCTAAGGGAAGGAGGAAAGCCAACAGCTTGGAAACATCTGTTGTCTTCATGCTGTTTGTTATCTCATTCCACTTGCCTAGTCAGCCCCAAAACGCACCGCCCCCACCCTCAGACAACGCCCAGCTGGCGGATAACCAGGGAGAAGTATCCCAACGACCTCTGCAGAGGAACTGTGCCCACTCTCCACAGACTGCCTGAAGCTCATCCAGACAGGGACAGTGCTGACACACCACTCTGCACAGCCAGCGCCGGGCAGTCAGGGAGCGAGGCTTACAACAGTCCTGTCTAATGTCTTCATTTTCTCCCATTCTCTCCTCAAGAACAGGATCTGTGGGAGTGATTTCAGTACACTGTTTTGGTTCCTGTTTCCCTGCTGGGGACTACCTCATATTTTATTCATTTTCATAACTCTGGTATCTAGCACAGCACCCAACACCTACTGTGTACCCAATAAAAGTTGGGCAGAATAAATAAAATTAATTTTAATAGAGCCAAAAATTATTGGGAATTTAGACTCTGAAGAAGTCTGATTTGAACTAAAAAATAGGACTTCTCTAAAATGATCCTAAACCTTACCTCCTCAAAACAGTAAAGTCACATTAAAAACTATAGGATCATTTTATTACCCAAACAAACAGGGTCCTGTTTTTATCACTCACCTTGAGAGATTCATAATGGTCCTGTCTGATATCTTCATATTCTTCCATGATCTCCTCAAAGTATTCATCCTTTAGATTCTCATCTAATAGCTGAGAACACTGAAAACGCAAGATCAGCGTTCAATCACAACAGAGCAGCAAAAGAAGATAAAACGTGCAATTCCAGTCAGTTCTGGTGACACTGCCTTCAGGAAACTTTTCCCATCATTTCCTCTCCCTTCACCAACTTTGCTAATTCCTGCCTGGGTGTGCAGTAAAGGGTCAACTCAGTAGGCCTGGGATGTTCAAATCTTGCACATTCTGAAGAAAAGACTGGTCTTGACAGGTTCCTGGGAGATGCGCTCTAAGCCCTTGGAATATCTGCCTGATAAGAGTGTCTTTGCCTACCTGGGGCCGTGGGCCACCCCAGACAGTTTATGTCAACAATGTGATTTATGGGGAGACTCAGTTCGTGCTGTATCTGTTTGACCTCTGGAGGGGTTGAAGTCTGAGGATTCCATGTCTACATGACTGACTCCCAATAAAAGCCCAGGATACCAAGGCTCAGGTGAGCTTCCCTGGCTGACAACGCTCTGTACACACTGTCACACATCACTAGCGGAAGAATTAAGCACTGTCCATATGACTCCACAGGGAGAGGACACCCGGAAGCTCATGCCTGCTCTTCCTGGATTCCACTCTATGCATCTTTCCACCTTTGCTGATTTTTATCTGTATCCTTTCACAGTAATAAACCATGATTGTGAGTATAAGAGCGTTTCTGAGTTCTGTGAGTCCTTCTAGCAAATCACTGAAACTGAGGGTGGTCTTGGGGACCTCCAACACCCCTCTTCTTCAGTGTTCCAAAGATACTCTGCTCATCTCTCCATCACTACACTTACTTTTAGTAAGCGTACTTGCTTTTAGTATCTATCTATGTATCGACTTTCCTCACTAGAGGACACCACGTTCATGTCCCTGGTTTCTAGCTCAGTGCCCGGTGCATACAAGGAGCATCCTCACTAAATGTTTGCTGAAGGAATGAGGCTGACCACAGCCACCTGGCAGCTTCTGCTAAAACAAGAAAGGAAATCGATCTTCTGGGAAATGTGAGGTCACTCGGTAACTTGTAAAACTAGGATCAGGTAAATGCTGTTTATGACTATGATTACCAAGTTGGTAGAGGAGTAGCTGCCACCAACGCTAAAAGTAAGATTACAAAGAAATATGAAATTGCTGCCACTGATCACATCAGTTCAAAGCTCACAGCACTGCCCACCTCTGCAGCCTCAAGCAGCATTTTTTAATACGCAAAAAGGCAGGGAAGTTCAATATCATCACTGAAATTGAGGAAGTTAGACTGGATGATGGCTAAAGTGCCTACCAGCTTTAAATAACTATAATTCTATGAGAATTTACTAAGCATCTCTAATTACAATCTAATCACCTATAAGTTACTATAAAACCAAATCACTTTATTAAGGACCATAATCAGGAAAGGCCATGTGGCAAGCCTAAAAATGGCTCCTAAATGGTATCCACACCACAGAGTATTTCCCAGCCTTATATGAACCTTACCTCAGTGGAGCCCCATTTAGGAAACCCAGCAGAGCTAAACAAAGACAAGAAGGAGATGCCTACTCCTGAGCGCCCGAAAGTACACGTAACCAATGTTCTAAAATATTGTTACATTCTGCTGGATTTTAAACTCTGAGAAAGCAAAACCCTGATTTCCTTAACATTCAAAGAACTTAACAATACCCCGACACAGGTACTATTGGGTAGACAGAATGGCCCACTGGTTTGTTGGCACCTTCGAGCCCGCTATACAGCCCCCTGCTCCCAGAGACATGGTAACACGTGCCTCCCGGTCCTGTCTGTCTCGCTTGATGGAAACGAGTTCATGGCCAATTACATGGGCTAATGGATGGGATCCTTCCACAAAAGCAGAGTCCATCATGTGTTTTCATGCCAACCACTTAGACACAGTACAGGTTTTCTTTTCCTTCTTTTTTATTTTTCATGGCAATCGTAGTACAATGAGAGGGCATAAGTTGAAAATACGTTTTATAATTTAAAAAGAAATAATATTGGTACCTTGTTTTTTATTAAAAAAGAAAGAAAAGAAAGCAAGAGGCATCCTGAGGTCTAAACATCCAGCTATTTTGTAGTCAACACATTTTGGAATCTTTCAAATTCATGAGCCAGTAAGCCAGGGGCCTGGGCCTGTGCCACACTCATTGCAGTTAGATCAAGACTCTGAACCAACAATCAACCTAAACAAATTGTACCACTGACTCCTGAAAAGGGTCATAAGCAATTACCCAAATGATTTATTATTGGACTCACGTTTGAGTAATTTTAAAAGGTGGCGGTTTCTTTGTCTATGACAAGAGCTAACCTCTGCTGGCTGCCTGGCTGGACCCGGCCGTAAAGAGCACAAGGACCCACGCCTCACCCTTTGCTTTCACCCAGGCCCGTGCTGCTGCAGCTCCTTAAGACAGTGAAGGAGCCTGTCCTCAGAAGGGACTCAAGAGGCTGACTCTTTCCTAGCTAGAGTCTTTCCCCTACCTGAAGGGGCAGTGTTAGCACAGCATCCTTAAATGGCCAACTGCCTCCTCTCCAAATGAGCAATGTTTGGAGTCATTCAGTAGCATCTGAAAACAGCAGCAAGCATTAAAAAGAGGGCCATTGGTTATGCCCATGGACCTGACATAAGCTCCTTATGAAACATAATCCAAATATAAGGTACAAAAGTTGTTTTAAAACTGAGTTGTAGAAATGTAGTTTATTTGGACATTAGTCTATGTCAATGGTAAATAAAAACTACAATTTTATGATGGCAGCCTGATTTAATGCTATCCTTTTTAGTAAAGGAGAACTGTTAAATTCAAGAGAGCAAGTTTCATGTAAACAAATCCACAGATCTGAAAGAACTCCTTTGGAAAATGGCTAAGGAAATGTGGTCACCTGGTTCAGGCTGCACGATATCACCTGGTGGTCTCCCAAATCACTGGGTCCCCTCAGTAACTTGCTTCACCTACAAACTGTGTAAGTTGGACTAGATCAGTGGTTTTTAAATTGCGCTCTTTTGATGAGAACTGGGAGTGGGATGCAGGATGGGAGGGGCTGCTCTTATTTGTACCACACTGAGTTTCCAGGGAAGATGTCACTTGAACACAAGGTTTCCGTGGCTAAAAGAATTGGAAACCACTGGACCACATGGTCACTCAGATTCCCTCCAGCTATTACAGCCTGTTCTTCAAGGAAAATAATGAAACACGTAACAAGAGAGGATATGAGGCTTCAATGACAAGGAAAAAACTTAGGTAAGTTGTTCATTACATTGATAGAGAAAAACCTACTATTTTGGGTTTTGAACATCTAGTGAATGTTTTTCTGTCTTTCGGTAGGGTCAACTGTCCCGTTCTAGGTTAAATGCTTTTCTATCTGGAAACAGGTCATTTTTAAAAAATTCTACATTCCTTTTAGCTCTGGCATGGAGCTAAGAAAGTGTATGTTCATATTTATAAATATTTGTAGATGGCTGAGATCTCTCTCCGGGTTGGTGTCAAAGTCACAGGTGTCTTGGCACCATTCTTCTGTTACTCAGACCGGCATTTCTGCCGCTGGTGCAGGAAGTGGTCTGCAAACACAAGACACACTCATCTGGCCCTCCTTCCAGCAACACAGACAACTGCAGTGACACTATTGTAAGGCTTATGCTATTCTTTCACTTTTTTTGGTAGAAGTGGACAAAAATAAATAGAAGGTCTTGGGTGATACCCTTAACTCTTAATGCTCTCTTTGTTCTCTCTTCACATTGTATCTGAAATAACGTAAGGCCTACACTTACCACCACCACACTCTTGGATGCGTCCAGGACATGGATTACAGGCGCACTGTATCTTGGAGCTATTTTAACTGCTGTGTGGGTTCTGAAATGAGGGGTCAGGAAGAAAAACATATCCATCAGTGCTGACAGTTCTTACACAACTCTTGTTCAGAACCATTAGAGATGATGTGTTTTTACAGTGCTTCCCAGAGAAAGATTTCAAGGTACTTACAAACATTGAATTTCAAATTTCTCTTGTAAAACTGGGATGACTTTCTCCCCACCCTAAGATGGGGAAACCAAAGGGAAAAGACATGGATTTGTTGGCCCAGGCTGCGAAGAAGTCTGTGACAAAATGAGAACGACTTTGTCCTCAGCTCTCTGCCAGCAGGGGACGAGTCTGCGACCTTGCAGTCATTAGCAACCTGTCTGAACTAAGGGAGCTAACCAGCCCAGGCAATTGCACTTTGCTGTCATAAAGGTCAAGTTGAATTTCTTCCTCCAAATGAGCTGGGCTACCAGCCAGGGCCCCTGGGGAACCAGACACTAGGCAGGCGACACAGGACACCACCCTCTAGCTGCTTCTCCCTATTCCTGGGAGACACCACCTCAACCCCACTTGATACCTGCAGGAAGAAACCTCAGACCCTAAATAAATTCAACACAAAATAACACAGAGAGGCAAAAGCAACAAAAATATTTTATACTAACATTGGCTCAGCCCCAAATCCCTATTGCCAAACTTGAAAATGTCAGTGCTGAGGAAGAAACACCCTTTAATCCTTAAGCTTACCTAATTAACTAAAGTGCAAAGCAAATTGCCCTCTGATTACCGAACGTTTACAGCAATAGCTTAGGCTACGTATCTGCTGTTTCATTACAGAACATAACGCTAAAGTGAGACTGGGGAATGCATATGCGCTCCCTTACAGTAGTTAACCAGGGCCCTGAAGATGGAGAGATGCAAGGGCTTTCCCACACTGCATTTAAATGGGCGGCAACAGCAGTTCCCACAAGACGGGCAGTGCTTTCCAGTTTCATCTTCTCCCCTAAAGTAGCAGCAGTCTTCCCCAAGTCAGACACTTTCATATTCTGTCCCTCAATTAAGATGTATTTTTGTTTGGAAAGACGTCCAGAATATGTTTTCATATGAGGAAAAAAACCAAGCGGAAGAACAGGATGTTTAATAAAATTCTATTTTTTAAAAAACAAACACTATCACCCTCAACCTGTGCCAATCAACCCACCTTAGATGTAAGTGCCACAGATACACATCAAAGTGTCCACACTGGTTCCATGCAGGTCAGAGACGGGAGTGAAGGCAGGAAGGGAGAGACCCAATTTTACTTTACATTCCTCTGAACTGACACGTTCTAGTAAGCGAGGATTACTGAGGTAATTTTTAAAAAACAAGAGAATATTAAAGATGCAAACGTGTGTGTTTTTAATAGGCTTCTGAGGGAAGGCTCTAAAAATTCATTCGTAATGAGACAGACAAGATCACTAACATTTCACCTGGCCCTTTCTAAGTGTATCTCTGTACATAAACAGGAAGCAAAGGACTAAAGCCATAGCCACAAGAACTGACCTAAAGATGGAAGTTCAGGCCTAAGCTAGTTAGTACAAGAGACATCTTCTGGGCTGGGAGGTTGCGGTGCAGAGCACGGAGGGAGCCAGACCATGAACCTGGAGCAGCCAAACAGACTCCACTGCTTCCTGGGGACCTGTTTTGTACCCACTGTGTGCTTGGGGATCAAAGATTTGAAGATACCTTGGGTATTCTATGAGGGGGAAGATTTTCAAACAGTAGGAAAAGTTATAAAGAAGAAGCTGTTTCTAGTTTCAAAATAGAACACAAGTCAGACTCTGCCTGCTTCCTTTTCCTCAGATGGTCACCTCCTTGAGCACATGAATTTACCCCAATGAATAGTCTGCATGAAGTTCCTCCAGGAAACATTATTTTAAGCTTGATGTGACTTAGATAGCATTTTTCTTAAAGAGAACCAGTACAATTTTAAATTTTAAAATCAACACAATTAATATTTATTAAGCATCCAAGGGTTTTGGTGCAATTCTGGCCATTTTCTTTGATGATCTTCTGGACAAGGGCACTGAGAAAGAATTGACGGATTCCAATATTTTAAATAAATTAATTAATAAATTAATAAGTAAAAGAAAAGTGCTGCCTTCTAACACAAAATTGACAAAGCTAGATGAGCACAGGCATAAAATTTGAGCTTGCTCAGCCATCGAGAGTGATTCTGGTTTCCTTATAAAATAATCTGACGTTGCTTCCACTTTCTTCTAAGCTTCCATTTATGCAAGCTTCTCTAGCTGGAAGAAGACTTCTTTCCAAAGTCTGAAAAGATGCAAAACATTGGACTCTCTCTTCCCCTTCCTCCATACCAAGAGCAAAGGGTTAGAGCTGAGGCTGAACCTATATCCATCTCTGCTAAGTCACTCATCAAATAGGATTTAATTAGTCACTGCCCCTACTTGCTGAATGGGCACAATAGTATTAACCTTGGAAGATCTTTTTAAAAACTCTGAAAAAGAACAAGTACTTGAAGTATTTATTTCATGTCATAGCCTATCCTAGAATTAATTGAAAGTGTTTTATATAAAAATGCAGCATGACCAAAACTTAAAATTTGATGAGAAAAATGAGACAAAGAGAAAATAAAGATGGGAAAATTAAGATGCAATCAGGAGTGAGATCGACATATAAAATTCATTCCACGAAATCCTACACACACACCTGAGCTCTAAGCTTCCCTGCAGTCAATTCAAAGAGGAAAATAATATCAGTTACGTGATTTGGCACCAAACTTCCTAAGAATTTTTCTTAAAACTCAGAAAATTATCTCCAGCTTTGAGCACTATGACTTCCTATTGAATTCTCCACTATTCACAAAAAAATAATAAAGACATTTTGCAGTTATTGGCTTTACACCAGTAAAAAATTGAGAGCTAACTGCCAGACTTGTGCCCTTGAGAAGTTCTGTAGCTAACAGGGCTAGATTTCCGTTAAAGGCATTTCTAGTTTGTGATATCAAAACCATCTGTATTACAGACAGGAGCATATTCAGTGTTCTATTCCTTTATAGCTACAGGTTAAGAAGGGACAATCCAAGCACATTTCCACTCAGATATGACCCCGAAATCTGTATAACCCTTTCAAAGTCTCCAAGGAGCCATCCATTAGACAGCCTTACGCCTCATTGCAAGCGTCTGGGGCTACAGCTCTAATTCTATCATGCCACCACGGGCCACTGAGGTCTGGAAAAGCCATGTTGGTATATTATATCCCCTCAGAGATCGGCTTTCATGACAACTTGGAAGACCTGAGCTGCCATCTGCTCAAATACAGTTAGCAAAGGAGAGAACTGGAACACTGCTGAGCCCTCAAGAGGTCAGAGGAGGTAACAAATACCAAGGGCTCTCAGAGGGCTTCTGAGACATTCAAACCCCTGAATGCTTTCTAGCAAAGCTGACTCGCCCAGCAGTAGATGTCTTTCTCATTCAGATGCAAGAAGCACAAACCATAAAAGGTGATAAACCAGATTTCATAAAAATTAAGAACTTTTGTTACACAAAAATACCACTAAGACAGCAAAAGGCAAGCCATATTGGAAGAATCTATTTAAAATATATACTTCTCTAGGGGCCGGCCCGGCAGCGCAGCAGTCAATTTCGCATGTTCCACTTTGGCGGCCCGGGGTTCGCTGGTTCAGATCCCGGGTGTGGACATGGCACCGCTTGGCACGCCATGCTGTGGTAGGCGTCCCACGTATAAAGTAGAGGAAGATGGGCACAATGTTAGCTCAGGGCCAGGCTTCCTCAGCAAAAAGAGGAGGATTGGCAGTAGTTAGCTCAGGGCTAACCTTCCTCAGAAAAAAAAAATATATATATATATACTTCTCATACAGGCCTAATATCCAATATAAAGAACGCACACAAATCTAAGAAAAAAGTAAGAAAAAAGGCAGAATATCCAATTTAAAAAAAGACTTAAAAGAGCAAAACAAAAGATTAAAAAGCATATACAAATGGTCAAGACACATATGAAATGGTACTCAATATCATTAGTAAACAGAGAAATACAAATGAAAACCATATCAAGATATTATTACATACACATTAAAATGGTAAAATCAAAAAGGATGTGGAATCACTGGAACTCTCATAATTGCTGGTGGGAGTGTAAATTAATACAATCACTTTGGAAAACTACTCAGCAATATCTGATGCAGATGATCATATGCATACCTTATGATTCAGCTAGTTTGCTTCAGGGCAGAAATACATACATAGCAGAGTTCTGTGTAATAGCTGCAAACTGGAAAAACCCAAATGTCCACCAACAGGAGCATGGATAAATAAGGCATAGTATACTATACAATGGAATATTATACCACAATGAAAAAACCCCCAACTGTTGTAACACTAAGTTTAGGCCTCACAGAAATAATGTTGAGCAAAATAAACTGGACACAGAAGAATACATACAACAGGATTCCATTTATACAAAGTTGAAATGCAGGCAAAACCAACCTACGATGATGGAAGACAGAACAGTGGTTCCTCTTGTTGGTAAGGATGATGAGGTGGGGTAGCCCGTGCAGTTCCCAGAGTGCCATTAATGTTCTATTTCTTGATCTGGGAGTGATTACATGGGTGGGTTCATCAGGTTGTATATCTATGATTTGTGTACTTTCCTGTATGACTGCAATTCTTTGGTAGAAGTACTCACTTAAATAAGAGGGCTTGATGAAGCGAGACTCCAGGCCCGAGTCCTCACCTACTGTCACTGCTTTAGAATGCAGTCAGAACAGGGGAATTTTACATGGAAGTTCTTAGAGGCTGCACGAGAATCTGTTGTGCAAAGGCTGGTCTAGCACCACGATGGACAAGGGGATGGTACCTGAAAGCACTGCTGCTGGCTTTCACTTTCCAATAATTTCCCAGAAATTCTAACAGGCATGGAAGACAACAGAACCAGAAAAGGCAGAGCTCATTGAGAAACAAAGCACTGGAGAGCTGGAAGAAACTGTGGGAGGTCAGGGACCCAGCTTTCTGCCTTCGGGTAGGCACACATGGAGTTTCCCAGATGATGAGAGCAGATATTTTGCAACAGCATGAAGAAACGATGGGTGATTTCTGATGTGATTACTTCTAACTTGATATACCAGGTTACAGAGTCATTTACGGCTAATTTTGCCAATGATGTATCTTGGGAGGCTAGTCATGTTGCTTCTGAATGTTTTTTTTAAAAACCTCTTTAATTTGGTGGCTCTTACGTGGTAAGAGGTATAATAGAATGGACCATTTGGTAATGTTCCAATTTGTACAAGTAGCAATATGTGGTTTCCTGATCTTGAACTTCTCTGAGTGTAGTGTCCTACCATATAAAATGGTTCTTATTTTGAAACCAGAATCACATTTACATAACTCATAATGCATTTCATTATATCTGTTCATTTAAATATTTATTTATTCTATTTACAACTGTGATTTTAAAAGGTATTTCATTCTGACAATAGTCTATAGATTCTCTTACCATTCTCTTTACTAAGCTAACAAATGTTCACACTACAATCATCAATTACCTAAGACCATCCTCACTGAAACCCGTTACCAATGGTTGGGTCATACCCCCAGAGAATAATCTGCCGCACATGCTGGTGGACAGTCTTTTGTGGAGAAACAAACCCAGTTCTCTAATGTGAGTGACAACAGCTACACTATTAAGTCCTTCAAGTACAAAAAGCAATTGGTAGATAAATGACATAACACTACTACTGACATAGGACTACTCATGAAAATGATCCATTCAGATTATAAACGGCATGACGGTTAATTATGGGTGTCAACTTAGCTAGGCCATGAGACCCAGTTTTTGGTCAAACACCAATCTAGACGTTTCTGTGAAGGTATTTTTTAGATGTAATTAACATTTAAATCAGTAGACTTTGAGGGAAGCCGATTAGCCTCCATAACATGCCTGGGCCTCATTCAATCAGTTAAAGACCTTAAGAGAAAAGACTGAAGTCCTCAAGGAAGAAGGACTTCTGCCTCCAGACTGCCTGGGGACTTAAGACTGCAACATCACCTCTTGCCTGGTCTCCAGCCCAAGGCCTTCCCTGCAGATTTCAGACTTACCAGCCCCCATAATCACATGAGTCACTTCCTTAAAACAAACCTCTCTCCCTCTCTCTCTCTAAATATATACACAATGCACATGCACATTCTCTTGATTCCGTTTCTCTGGAGAACTCTGACTAATACAAATGGCTTACCATACAGTTGTTTCCAGTATGACAGGAACTTTGCACTATCTTTGACCAGACCTCTACTGTATTTTTGTATCAGAAAAATAAACTATATGATAGTGTGAATCACCAAGTTCAATGCTCCAACTGGGTATTATTTCCTGCCAAAGTGAACTATATGGGGCATATGGAATGTGTCATAAAAAGTCTAAAACCCATAGTTAACATATTTCTCACCAAATATTATGATCACGACCCCAGGAAAAATCTGACAAACTAATGATTATGTGACCAAATTTGAACTTTCTCCTCTTTAAATTGTTTAACCCAGAGGTTTCAAAAACAACTTCCCAAAGTGGTCTTTTGGTTCATTCTTGCTAGGCTGGCTTTCTGTCTCAACTACTACAAGGTCAGAGTTTCTTCAAGGGAACTTGCAATTACTCAGACACCTGCTTCAAGATAGAGAGTGAGCTGAAGTTCAAACAATGTCTTTGTGCTAAAATACACAGCTTCTCCACTCAGTTTGATTTCAGGAGGAGTGGATGTTCATTAGAAATCTCAGGAACTAAACAGGAGGTGAGAGGATTAAGGAGAAGACAGTTGCAAGCCAAAGGAATCCAAACAAAGGCTAAGGGTGGGGAGATCACCAAGGAGTTTCCTATAGCAGGCTCCCAAAGTATTCTGGCTCTTGTCCAAGTGAAGACGGAAAGTTCATGTTTTTATATAAGATGGAGCCAACGTACTAAGCATTAGAAAAAACCCTCAGGTTTTCTCACTGATTGTAAACACAGGCATTTAAGAGAATTTAAAGCAAAGCACAAAGCTCATAAACTTGACTTACCTCGAAGTGGTGGCTCCTCCAATCAGCAATGGAATCTTTATAGCTAATCTCTCCATTTCCTTGGCAACAAAAATCATTTCATCCAGGGAAGGAGTGATGAGTCCTGACAGGCCAATTATATCTATTATTTAAAAAAAGAAAAAAAGGACAGTGAGACAGAAGATGGGAGAAAAAGAGGAAACGTATAAAGACTCATTTTAGAAACTTTGTAAATCAAGACCACAAGACCTAAGTTGAATTCCCAGTTTCTAACTCTAAGACATCTTCTCTGACTGGGGGGTTTCAATTTACTGTTTGCTTTTGGTAGTAAATATGATCTGTAACTTAAAGTTGCAATAATGTACTTGCCACAGTTTTGGGAAGCCATGCAATAGAATACATTGTCACATATTTCCCAGACTCCAACGTGTCACAGTGCCTAAAGAAACATAAAAACAACCACACCCAGAGAAAAACTCTAACATAACACTGCTCTCTTACAAGAAGCCTGTCCCCATTCCCCATCTTCATAGCTACATAGGAGTTTCAAGGTTACCTATTCCCCTCTTCAACCCCCATTATAGATGGCAGTGAAAGCAGGCCCCATGCAGGAGTTGGCTCTTGATTGTCTGAATGTCCCACGGATCCCACACGGGCTGGGGCATTACTATTCACTGGCAGACACACAACTGGAGGGAATGGCATGTAATAAAACACCCAGAAGTACAGTTGCACAGTACCTGCTTTGTGGTCAAGAGCAGCTTTCAGTATCTTATCACAGGGAGTCATGACTCCTAAATCAATAACTCTGAGGAAAAGAAATGAGATGTGAGAAAATTAATGAGAACCCATTAGAGACAAAGCTGAAATGAACATTTTTATTTAGCCATCAAATACTGCTCTAATGTAAACTGGAATCACATTGAAATGCTCACTAAATATTGACAACCACCCCAATTACAACTGCCATTTATTAGGTACTTACCTATGCCAGGAACTATGCTAAGCTTTTTAAACGGTTTCATTGATGCATACTTCACAAAGCAGTCACTTCACCCATTTAAAGTATACAATTGAATAGTTTTTGGTATATTATTATTATTTTTTAAGCTCTGGTAAAAAATATATATAATTTGCCATTTTAACCATTTTTTAAGCACACAATTCAGTGGTATTAATTACAATAGGTCACAATGTTGGGCAAACTTCACCATTATTTATTTTTAAACCCTTTCATCAACCCAAAAAGAAACTGTGTAATCATTCAGCAACAATTCCTCCTTCCACCTAGCCCCTGGCAACCTCTATTTTACTTTCTGTCTCTATGAATTTGCCTATTCTAGACATTTAGATAAGGGCAATCATACACAGTCCTTTTGTGACTGGCTTATTTCACTTAGCATAATGTCTTCAAGGTTCGCCCATGTTGTGGCATGTGTCAGAACTTCATTCCTTTTTAAGGCTCATAATACTCCATTGCATGGATGTGCCACATTTTGTTTATTCATTCATCCGTCGATGGACACTTGGGTTGCTTCCACTATGCTAAGCTTTTCATATAAGCGATCTCATTTAACCCTCACGGCAACTCAACAATAAAGCACTACTCTAGGCCCCATTTTTTGTTTTGTTTTCATATATTTACTTGATTCATTTATCCAAATATATACATTGGATGGATTATTATAAATGGGATTACTGCATTAAATATATTTTATGATGTTTGATTTATATTTTAAACTTGATTTTGAGGTAGTTTGTACCAATTACTACTTTTTAAATTATTATTATTATTATTATTTTCTAAAGATTGGCACCTGGGCTAACAACTGCTGTCAATCTTCCTTTTTTTTCCCCCCTAAAGATTGGCACCTGGGCTAACAACTGTTGCCAATCTTTTTTTTTTTTTCTGCTTTATCTCCCCAAACCCCCCCCCCCCCCACCCCGCCCCCGTACACAGTTGTATATCTTAGTTGCAGGTCCTTCTAGTTGTGGGATGTGGGACGCCACCTCAACATGGCCTGACGAGCGGTGCCATGTCCGCGCCCAGGATCCGAACCCTGGGCTGCCGCAGCGGAGCACGCGAACTTAACCACTCAGCCACAAAGCTGGCCCCAATTATTATTATTCTTGAAAACATGATTTTCACGTTTTTTTTGGTTTTTTGCTGGGAAAGATTTGTTCTGTTGCAAATCTTCCTTTCTTTTTTTCTCCCTTCCCCAAAGCCTCAGTACATAGTTGTATATTTTAGTTGTAAGTCCTTCTAGTTCTTCTATGTGAGCCACTGCCACAGCATGGCTACTGACAGATGAGCGGTATGGTTCTGTGCCCAGCGAACCTGGGCCACCAAAGCGGAGTGCACTGAACTTTCACCACTAGGCCATCAGGGCTGGCTCTGACTTTAATGTTTTAATGAGGAAGGGCCCAGAGGAGCTTGGGCCCAGTCACAGAACTACTTAGTAGCAGAGTTGGGATTTGCACCAGGATCTGACACCAAAAAACCCATCCTCTTAGCCATTTAGGCTAATAATAACGCCGGGGAAGCTCACTCAATAAATATTTATTGAACAGTATACTACACAGAAGCCAATGAGAAGAATAATCCAGAAGAGGTCAGTTCCTGCAAATGAAAAGCCGATGATAAAGAAATCTGGTTACTTAAGTCAAGGGAGAGGGAGACTGAATCAGGGAGCTGTTCACCCAGAGAGATGGGGTGAGACTCAAAGGAGAAGCTGGCTCTGGGAGGGCACACACGAGAAGGAGGGTCAGCAGGGGCAGAGAAAGCCTGGAGCATGCTCTGACAGAACAGATAATACCAGAAGAATTCCAATTCATAGGGGAGATGGCTTTCTGGAACTCAGAGAAAACAGGAATTTCTGCCCTGGAAAATGTTCTATGTACTACTCCTCTATTCTAGATTGAGAGAGGATCCATGTCAGTCATTATTACAATTTCATTCTATTATGAGTATTTGTTTAAAATATGTTTAAAAAAATTACAGCATGCATCTTCACTTACTTCATAATGTCAAGAATTCTTAAAATTAAATAAGGAAAGTAATTTTAAGTAAAAAAATCACTATGTTTTATGCAGCATCAAGTCAGCTGAATGAGTGATGTCCACAATGTCCTAGACATCAGGGGCAGGAAGGAGCCTTGCTTCTCACTATATACCCGTTTATACTATTGGATTATTTAGCTTGTTCCCATATTACTTAAAAAAATGTTTTTAAATAAACTAGCACATATGGAATCCTCAGTAAGAAGCAAGACAATTTCAAATCAATAACCATAGTCAGCTGTTAGCACTAACCCAGTAGAAACAAAAGCTGCAGGTTTTAATGATATGACACTGCAGGTTGTAACAGGAATGAGATGATACCACTTTGCGTTTTTTTAGCATATTGAAAAAAGTCTGGTAACTGGATCTTTTGTTCAACTATGACTAAGTATAGACTGTCGCATATAAAACTAAGCAAAATAGCATACTACTTTTAAATCAAGACAAAAAGGCATACATTTCAAAGCTGTTTTCAATATTGTATATATTTTTAAAACTCAATTAAAAATCATCAGTATGATGGCAAGAATTCTCTTGTTCTCGTTCCCTTTTCTTGTTTTAAGCAGTGTATCTTTCAGGAACATCTTATGCATGCTTGCTCTGTTTGAGGAAAAGTACGGAGCCCTTGTGGCTGGACAGAAATGGGGGAAGGAGAGAGGTAGCCAGCGAGGTCAGAGAGGGAAGAGAGGGCATCTGAATGGTGGCAATTAGTTCAATTTTCAAAGTACTAAGTTTGAGATTTCTTTAGATATCCAAATGGAGCTCTCAGGTAGTCAACTGGATATACATGTCTGGAGTTCAGGTGAGAGATCCATGCTGGACATAAAACTTGGAACTTGTCAGCATATTAGATGATGTTAAAATGTCATGAGACTGTGTATAAAAGAATTAGAAAAACAGATTACCAAAAGCAGAGAGAGAAAGAAAGGAAGAAGGAGGAGGAGCAGGAGGAGGGAGAAGAGAGGGGGAGGGGAGGAGAGGAGCAAGAAACAAAATAGTCAGGAGACTGGATGAGACCATATAAGCCTGTCCTAGGGCCTTGTCACCCGAGGCGGGTGTGCTCCCTGCACCAGCAGCACCACCATTACCTGGGAGCTCGTGAGAAATGCACAACCTCAGATCCAGACCTACTTCAACCAGATGTGACCCTTAACAAGACTCCCAGGTGACCAGAAGGCACATAACTGTTGGAGAAGCACTAACCTAGGTAGTGAAGACAGACAAAGAAGAGCTCCAAGGGCTGAGCCTTGGTGTACTCCTCTATGTAGGGATCACACAGAGGAGAAATCAGCAAAAGAGAGAGACAAAGAGTGATCAGTAAGGTAAGAAGGGATCTGAGAACAGTGAGCCAGGGGACCAGGATACAAGTTCAATTTCCAACTTGTATGCCTCCTTAGGAAATCTTGTCGGGAAACAGTCAAATATATCATTGATTAGAAGAGCACTTCCCCACTTTTACCATGCATAGAAAGTAATATTTACGGCACTGGGATACACGAGGTTGCTCACCATCAGGGACAACCAGTCTAGGACTGAGGCTGCCCCCAGCTCCACCCCTGAGGAAGAAGGGGATCAGTTTCTCAGCATATCTGAGTTGAGAAACAGTTGGCAAGTTCTGAATTAGAATACAGTGTGACAAGTGCTACGATGGAGGCATTTACAGTGTGTTGTGGGAGGCCATCTAAACTGGATGACAAATAGAAATGTCCCAGGAGGGTGATACCCGAGCTCAATTTTGAAAAAATAAGTAGGTATTAGCTAGATGAAGGGAAAAAGAGGGCAGTCCAGGCAAAGACTAGCACTATGAAGGTCCAGAATCATGAAGCAGCTGGCCCTGGAGAACTCGGGCTGAAGGAAAGGATCTGAAGCCTGGGGAGGAGGGCATGGGTCAAAGCCATCCCTGCCTTCTGCGGCTGCCACCACTCTTCCCACCAACCCTTTCCATGTTCTCTCACCTTTACTACAACTTCCTGCTTCCCCCACATACCTCTCCATCTCCCCTGGCTTTCCCTTGGTTTCCCTTCTTCACTCTGAGCTGTACCCCACGTCCGTAGGACTCTTCCCATACATATTCTTATATTTTGCCAAATGAGAGATTAAAGACAATCAAATGAATGTTATGGAAAAATGTCGGTTTTATAATCATCTTTCTAAACTGCTTATAACAGGTTGTGAACACAAGCATTTAATTTGGGCTTCTAATTCAGAAAAAAAAGGTAAGCTGCATTAAATGCTTTAGCAAAGGCATCCAATACTATTTAAGAACACAAACATTTTAGAAAATAAATAGTGTAGTAGATAAAGTCTCTTTTATGCTCCAGAAGGAATTAAAAAGGAAAATGAAACTAGCTATGTATCTGCATGGCCTTAAGGTGCCTCATATTTGCTGTCATGTGAACTAAGGTGGCAGCTTGTTTCTGATCCTGCAATTCACACACGCTACCACTAGATGGAAGCACCCCACCAGTCTGCATTCCCCAATGACGGTTGCCAATCTGCAGTTAGATTGGAGCTCACAGGGTCTCTTTCTACTTCTCCTTTTCAAAAATACATAAATAAATAAAATTCTTGATAGTCTCCTCTTCAAAATAATACAAGTTGGGTAGAGGAACTGAATAGATATTTTTCCAAAGAAGACGTACAAGGGAACAACAGACACATGAAAAGATGTTTACTATCACTAATCATCAGGGAAATGCAAATCAAAACCACAAGGAGCTATCACCTCACACCTGCTAGAATGGCTAGTATCAAAAAGACAAGAGATAACAAGTGTTGGCGAGGATGTGGACAAAAGGGAACACTTGTGCACTGTTGGTGGGAACATAAATTGATGCAGCCTCTATGGAAAACAATATGGAGGTTCCTCAAAAAATTAAAAATAGAACTACCATATGATCCAGCAGTCCCACTTCTGGGTATATATCCAAAGGAAATAACAACAGGATATTGAAGAGACATCTGCACCACCATGTTTATTGCGATATTATTCACAACAGCTAAGATATGGAAACAACCTAAGTGTCAGTCAATAGATAAATGGATAAAGAAAATGTGGAGACATACATACAATGGAGTATTATTCAGCCACAAGAAAGAAGGAAATCTTGCCTCTTGCAACAACATGGATGGACCTTGAGGGAATTATGCTAAGTGAGATAAGGCGGACAGAGAAAGACAATACTGCACGATATCACTTATATGCGGAATCTAAAAAAGCCAAACTCATAGAAACAGAGACTAGAATGGTGGTTATCAGGGTCTGGGGGGTGGGGGAAATGGGAAGATGTTAGTCAAGGAGTAGAAACTTTCAGCTGAAGATAAACACGTTCTGAGGATCTAATACAGAGCATTGTGAATATCGTTAACAATATTGTATTATATACTCGAAAATGTTAAGAAAGTAGATCTTCAATATTCTCACCACAAAAAGAAACGGTAATTATGTGATGTGATGGAGGTATTAGCCAACACTATGGTGGCAATCACATTGCATTATATAAGTGTTTCAAATCAACATGTTGTACACCTGAAACTTACACAATATTATATGTCAACTATATCTGAATAATGCTGGAAAACAATATATACGTAATTTATTTCATACGCACACACATACACACACACACATAAACACATATCAAGTTGAAAGCCTCTGATTACCAAGCAAGCCTGTGAGGTATGTTGGAGAGACTGGATCAGTGTGCCCTGACTTAGACACAGCCATTTTCCTCACTCAGCTGAACACTTGAACATGCAGTGTTTCATTCTTAGACATATATTTCTTATTTTTACCCATACAAGACAGTTATGTTAAGAACCATTGGTTAAAACATAAATATGCCTCATTAACTGTTTCACTACATCCATATTTTTTTAAGTACTAGATGTATGATATCTAATTTTAAAATTTCTGTTGATATATCCCACCTTTTCTTACAAAAATTATCTGTTAAATGGGAGATATTTGTCTTTTTATATAATTATGATTAAAGACTATATCTAAAATCAACTTTCATGTAATCAAATATCCGATCAAAAATATTTTTAAATATTCTAAATTACTTCTTAAAAGAAATTTAACTAGAATATTAATATCAGACATTACAGTTAAAGTTAACTTTATAACTGGAATAAATACTGGAAGGTAAACTGACACAGCATAGAATCCCGACTTTTGGACTAAGAAGCCCTGAGTATGGCCTGCCACTTGCTAGCTGTGTGACCATGAAGAAATCACTTGACTTCTCTAAGTCTTGGTTTTCTCCTCTGTAAAATGAGAAATACAATAATTGAGACAGGAAGAGTAGGATCAAAACCTTTAAAAGAAAGGAAGGATGAAAGAAAGGAAAAGAAAAAAAGTCAGGAAAAGAAGACCAAGCCTAGAACACTACTGCTTAGCTAAAGTATACATGTAACTACAGAAGGCAGATCTGCAGGCACTCATCTACTAGTTGACACCATAAAATCAAACTTACCAATGCCAAGAGTCCATGTGTTACAAGACACAGGACTCAAAGGGGTATTCGACTTGACAGAAAAAGTTTGTGCATTCACTTATGTTTTTGTAAAAAGAATAATTAAAGTTACACCAGCAGATGTTTCTCCAGTTAGACTTGCTAGCAAAGATGCGCAGACCTTCAATGCACAAGACAGAGGAACTGGATGTGCTGGGGGAAAGCCTCTGGTTCAATAAGCAGGCTTTCACGACCATTGACATTCAGCTCCAGTAGCACCCTGGAGAAACGCCACAGCTCCCTCTGGCTTCTTCAAATGTCTTTACTGGAGAAAAAACATTCCTAGTATGATTCGCTCACCTACTTATCCATTTTTCAAGATAAAAAATGATAAAGACACGACAATGATATCTCAAGAATTGCTTTAGGAAGTGTGCCTACAAGTCGCCTTTTCCAGTAGTTCTCGTGCCATTATCACAGTTCAATATGTACCTGGGTGTTTAGCCTGATAAACAGTAAACTTCTTGAACAGAGAAAAGTCAGCTGAATCATTTTGGTGTCTCTAGTGCAACACATGGCACGTAGCAGATGATCTATAAACGTGTATTAGCTAAACTGAATTTTAACTAATTGTGATGAATGCAAACAGAAACCATTGATATCGGGTTTGAAAAGGTGAGACAACAGCAGAAATGTCTTGTAGATTTTAGCAAGCAAATACCTTATCCAAACACTTATCCTACAGGTAAAATGTCATTATAACAACCCCCACTCTATCTCCAATATACTTATCTTTTGAAAAATAATAAATACATTCCAAGAACAATATTCCTCATTTCCAGGAGGAGGAGAGAATGCTAAGTCTTTTGACACTGAGGCAGGCACATAGAAGTGCTTGTGAAGACAGAGGGAGAAGGTGCCATCATGACACTGCTCCTCCATCTCCCGCCTTCCTGAGTGGTTCTCAGCCGCATTTAATTAGCCTTGAACACAGAGACGGATAAACATGAGGGAGGGGTCTTAAAGGGTGATTGCTATCTGACAGCAGGACACGAGAACTCTAAGGGGGCCCAGCTGCAGCTGCAGTCAAGTTTCTCTTCTCCACAGAGAAAACAGCACATTGGAAAGAAGTCCCTGACTCAAAACGACTGTTGGATGGACAAGGACCAGAAAAGGCCTTAGTTATATTAGGCTTTTGATTATAAAGAATATGCTGAAATCTGAGCAAAATATACTCTTACTTTAGGTCATCAGCTCTCATTTGGAAATAACTTTGTGCTGAATATTTATTCACTGTAACGAGATACATAAAAAAGTTTTACTTCTATACAACATTCCAAAATCCAGCTACATCACTACCAAGAGGCATGCATGGTCCTGTTCTAGGCAAAGGAAAGAGAACTGTACAGTCAAAACCTTCTTCTAAAACTCCATTTAGCCAAAGTCTAGTAACATCTAGGCTCTAAAATACAGCAGTTTATTGGGAGGAGAAGGGAATAAGCTATATGCCACTGGCCATGGGTAGGAGCCCAGTGTTCTAGTTACTAGAGCCTCTGGCCCAAGGTCAAATCTCAAGAAGCCTCTCGGTTGTTCTGACTCTGCTTGAACAGTTTTTAATATCCTTTTTGCCCTTACTGAACATATAAGAGATTAAATAATTACTAACTTATTTCATTTGAAAAGGTATGTTCAAAGTAGAAATTCAAAAACAGAGGAAGGAAAAAGAAATTAAAAATAACCTCTAACATCCACTGCCATACCCTACCCCTCCAACCCAATAAGGAATTATCCTGTTACTGCTTTTATTTTTAAATAAGAAAGGAGCTGAAAGAAGTGGTCTTAACTTACCTAAAATTATTGCAGCCCAGGACGACTCCAACTATGTTCTTGCCAATGTCATGCACATCGCCTTTAACCGTAGCCAACACAATGGTGCCGTGGTAAGGGTCCTGGAGAGCAAGACAAGCAGCTCAGCATTGCTGTGGACCACCTAGTTCTCTATGGCCAGACAGGTGTCGGCACAGACAGCAATTCAATACAACCAAGACAACCTCAAAGATACACCTGGAACCCAAATCATGTGCTGTGCAAGTAGACAGCTGGAAGCCCGAGCAGTTCAAAGGAGGCCTGCCTAGTTGATTAGCTCAGGGAGCTTCAACCAAGATCATGGTTTCCATCACCTCAAAGAACAGTTTATGTTCAAATACTAAACAATCCCATAGCTGAAGACCATATCCTTAACCCCAGAAAACTGTCTGACAAATGTCTATTGTTAGCAATAGAGGGAGAGGGAGGGAGGAGCCGGTGAACTGCATATGGCCCGTCAGAATCTGAACCACCTCAACAGGCCAGCACAGAGGGGCATTTGATAATCTTGTTTCAACACTGGTGTTTTATGTACTGTCAGCATCCCCTCCCTCAAAAAAAGAAAAAGAAAACAAAGGAAAAGGCATGCAAGGCAAGTGGGACTTTTATAAGCACTATGTCTGTCTGAGCCATTCACAAACTCAGACCAATTTAAGAATTCAGAACCCTAGGGGCCAAAACAAACTGAGCTTCACAGGGAGCTAAACAAGGTCAAAGCTTAATGATATACTATGGTGGTACAGCCCAACAAGAATTCAATTGAATCCAGAAACCGTGCCAAGGACATTACCCAGACACAGAGAATATTCAGTTAAGAGGTTTTCCAACACCACAAATTACTGTTACCTCAAGGGCAGGGACTAATCTTTGTAGCTACAGTGTCTAGCACAGTACTTGGCACATAGTAGGAGCTTTGTAAATGGTCAACAGATGAATGAATGAACTTGTCTTGAAATCATGAGCTTTGTCTGAAAAATTATGTTCATATTAAAAATTTCATAAAGTCACATTCAAAGCAAAGTTCCAGAGTATTCCGCTATTTAGTGAAGCAGTAGATCATCTCTCTATTTATCTCCAATGACAAAGACAGCCAAGCCCATGGTCCCCACCCCCACCCCAGCAACAGTCTTCGGGACCAATTCCTCACAGGGCCCATAAGCCTGGACAAAATGACTTGCCTCTTCTTCTACTGCACCAGTAAGCACTCTGGTTTCTTCTCTTTCTTTTTCCATGAAGGGAATAAGGTGGCCAACAGCCTTCTTCATAACCCGAGCTGACTTTATAACCTGGGGAAAATACACAGTCAGGCATCTTTATAAAATCACCTGAATGGTTGCTAATGGCCACTCGTGAAATTTCAGCACAAATTAAGACGGCATGCTTTAACCTTAGGTCAGCCACACTGGAGTTCACTTTTGACAGTGGGCAGGATAAGGAGTGAGTTCCCTGTGGGGAGAGCCAGTGAATGAGGTAAAGCAGAAGGAAAACAAGGCTAGAAATCAAACATTGCAATTTCTGTCCTCTGAACTTCATATTATTTTTTCTCTGCCTAGAAGGCCCTCCATCACTTCTCCAAGTTCCATATGTATCCTTCATGTTTCAAGCTTCTCTACCATGAGCCCCTTCTCAGCCTTCTCTTCTCATTCCCCAGCATTACAATTCACTTATAATGAAGGCTTGTGCTTAAACTAGAACAGAGCCTTTTACAAAATTCATGTATGCTGAAATTCATTGGTATAAGTATGATGAGAAACAGGATATTTGCACTCTTAAAGTTTCTCCCCATAAGTAAATTTATAGAGGAGAAACCTAGCAGACAGCATTAACCAAATGATGAAAGTTAACATCACCAGTAATGAGTCATAACAACATGACGGGCCTCCTGATATGATCCACTGAGAAGGGCAAGCATCACTCTGTTATTCTTGCCAAAAATGAGAAAAAAATCAGACAAACTCAAATTGAGGGACAGTCTACATAATAACTGTGCTGTATTCTTCAAAAGTCAAGGTCATAAGGAAAGACTGAGGAACTGTTAGAGAAGGTAGGATAGAAACAATGTGGGATCCTGGAACAAAAAAAAACAGTAGTGGAAAAGCTGGTGAAATGTGAATAAGGTCTTTGGTTAACAGCATTATATCAATGTTAATTTCCCAGTTCTGATAATTATAGGATGGTCATGTAAAAATGTTAACATTAGGGGAAGAAGTTGGGTAGGGGATATATGGACACTTTTAAACTGTATTTGCAATTTGTCTGTAAGTCTCAAGCTAACTCAAAAGTAAAAAGTTAAAATAATAACTTTGTCATGAAAAACAAAGACTGAGGAACTGTCACAGGCTGGAGGAGACTACGACGACAGGACAACTAAATGTTCCTTCTACTGAATGTGGTGATGGTTTCCCGGGTGCAGACATGTTAAAACTTATCAAACTGTAGCCTTTAAATAAGTGCAGTTTATTGTATGGTAATGATAAAATAAAGCTGTTTAAAAAAAGGATGAACATTATAAAGGAAAATGGACAAATAACATTTAAATATAGAATAAGTAAACTTTAAAAAAAAAGAACTGGACCTTTTAGCTTTTTGTATGCCTCACAGCACCAAACCCAGAGGGCTCAACAAGTATTTGTTAACTGATTTGGTTAGCAGCTACTATAAATCAAAATAAATGTTCTGGTTTTCGGGCCAGCCCTGTGGCCAAGTGGCTGGGTTTGTGTGCTCCACTTCGGCAATCCGGGTTTCCCCGGTTTGGATCCTGGGCATGGACATGGCACCACTCCTCGGGCCATGCTGGGCCGGCGTCCTGCATAGCACAGCCAGAGTGACCTGCAGCTGGAATATACAACTATGTACTGGGGGAGGGGCTTTGGGGAGAAGAGGAAAAATAAAGAGGAGAAGGGATTGGCAGTGGATGTTAGCTCAGGCACCAGTCTTTAAAAAAAAAAAGTTCTGGTTTCATTTGAAACATTTAATGTATATCATTATTTAAAAATGGTAATAATTTTTTCAAAATATGCATCCTTAAAGATGAATATTGGCTGGTCAAATCAAATCAATATTATTAACTTGATATTAATCTTGGATTTTATTTTAATATGGGTGAGACATAGGTGTTGGGGGTAAGAGGTAGTACAGAAGAACAGAACATGAAGATGAGAATGCTAATTTCCAGATGACCTCTAACCTCCACATCACCCTAAAGACGGATTTTTAAACCAGACATTAGTACTAAAAATGCTTAGAGAAAGAATGACCAGATCTCAATGCCTCTGAGCTCTTACCAAAATTAAAACCTGAGAAATATACCCAGACTTACTATTTTATTAAAAGAGACTTTTTCTTTCAATTGTGAAAATTTCCCCCCCATTTTTGCCAACCTGAGGTAGAAACATTTTTCCAGCTCCAAAAAGATCACCAACAACTTTCATGCCATTCATCAGAGGTCCTTCAATTATGTTCAGGGGTCGGGGATATTTCTCCTGGTTTAACCTTGCTTCCTCAGTATCCTCAATAATATATTTTTCAATGCCCTACAAAAAAAATTACATTAAAAATTGGATGAAGTCCAAACAGCCAACAAAGAACGAATCATGGAAATGCTGAAGAGTGAGGGTTTTAGAATCAGACTGCATGGGTTCATATCCTGGCTCCAATCACTAATTTAGACAATTTATTAAGCTTCAGTTTCCTAAAGTAAAATATCACATAGTACCTACTTCATATGTTTATTTTGAGGATTAAGTGAGATAACCTATGTCAAGAGCTTAGCTGGCCTCCTTGATACAAAGTAAGTACTTGGTAAAAGTGAGCTGTTAGTGAGAGAAGGAGTACTAACAAGTAAAGTTCAAATTCACAATAAAATACACTTTAACAGATTACACGTTAATAAATATCTCCTGTGAAATCAGTGTTTTCTCACTGTATGTTACGGGGCTAGGGGAGGAATGACAATGGGCAGGACTTTTATGGGACGTTCAGATCCATGAGGCCTCCACTGACTTATCCAGCCTTCACTCATCAAGCCCTAATCCTTCAGTGTCCCCAGTTCAAGGCCTTGGATGCAGCTGACTAGTTCCACAACCTGAAATGTGTGAATCTCAAAAGGTCCAGGAAGTTAAAAGTTAAATTTCAGAGCCAAAAAAAACCTCTGAAATTCTCCAGATTCACAAATGAGGAAACCGAAGCTAAGAGATTATGTTGGCTAAAATTCCACTTATCAGCAGAAGAGCCAGGACTTGCTTGTTGACTGACTGACAGCAACTTGGTCTAGAAGAGCGTTTCTCAACCCTGGCAATACTGACATTTGGAGCTGAAAAATTCTTTGATGTGCAGGCCTGTCTTGTGCACTGGAGGATGTTTAGAAGCATCCCTGGCCACTGGATGCCAGTAACACCTCCCACCCCCAGTTATGACAACCAAAAATGTCTCTAGACACTGTCACATGTGCCAGAGATGGGGGATGCAAAATCACCCAGGGGTGGTCTTTAGGGAATCTCCTTTGCCAGCTGCTGTCAGCACCACCCTTCCAGCATCAACATCAGACAACCATGAGGAGTCTCCTGCCTCCAGTCCACACTCAGCGGTCGCACAACTCACCTTCACGAGGGCATACTCAAGGCGTTCTTCAATGGGGCCATTCCTCCACTCATCGGTCTGGATGACTTTCTTCCCTCCTTTGCCATGAGTCTGAATTCAAATTAGGACAGAGAGATGGGTATAACAGGTCACTTAGAATTACTTGGCATCAAAAATACTTCCAGTCCCTAGTAGAGTATCCAGCATGAATTAAGATCTTAATAAATGTCTGAAGCTATACCACACATCTGATGAGTTTTTAAAGCTTTCAACAAGGACTACCCACAAATATATGTAGAAAAGATGTAGTGAAACTAGGTCAGACATCACCCTGGAGGTGGGCACACTCAGAAGTGCAGGACATGAACTATGTTCCCAAGGACTTTGTCCTATCACAAGGGAGGTGGAAAATATACAAAGAAAAGAGAGCCACAAGAGAAAACATGTGCTGAGGGTCGAATGAGCAGACGATACAGACTAGTAGATAATACAAACTAGACTAGGAATTTTGAGCAAGGAGTGATTATCGCAAACTGGGGTGGTGAAGAGAGACTTTGAAGAAGCTGACAGATTCAGCAAAGAAACAGAAGCGCAAGGATCAATGGCACAAAAGGTGAATTGCATTACCTTATCTGTTTTCTCCATCTCAACCAGTGGCACCAGTTTCCCAAACCAGAAAATAAGTATCATTCTTGAACCTCTACTCTATTCGTTCCTCACAATTAATCAATCACCTACTCCTAATGATTACACCTCCTCAGCATTTCTCTCCACCCCAATTCCACCTTCATAGTCCAAGCAATAAGTGGTCTCCACAGCCCAGAGTCACCCTGATCTCCAATGCACCTTTCGCACCGTAGCCAGGGGGACCTTTCCAACACGCAAATCTGATCAAACTGCCCCTAGGTGAAAAAATTCATTCGAAGTTCCCTATTGTTCTTGAGATATAGTACTGACTCCTTTCTATGCCATACAGTGCCCTTATCTGGTGTTCTCCTATAGCTTCATCTTCTACGATTCCCAACAAGCTTAGCCATCCTGAACATTTCAGTCCCTTACACTCCCCATCATCTCTTTCATGCCTGGGCCTTCACATTTGTTAATCTGACATACGTTTATTCAGCACCTACCACAATGCCAGGCCCCAGTTAGATGCGAATACTCCTCCCCTGGCAGGGACCACCAGCACTGCTCTCCAACCCCAAACCTTAGCCTAGCAAACTCCTATTGAACTTTCAGGGCTCACCTGACCCATCACTTCTGGGAAGCTTTCCCCGACCACCTCTACCTTTGGGTTCAGTGTCCCTCTGAAGCATTCTCATAGCATCCTGTATTTCCCCTATCATAGCACTTACCACAGTGGATCAGAATTGCCTCCATATATTTTTGCATGTCTCACTAAACTCGAGGCTCTGTAGGGACACAGCTCTCTTACTAGCTAGATCCTCCAAGTTCAGTAAAGTGCACAAAACAAGAATTCAGTAAATATTAGCTGAATGTTTTAGTGATGCCTGGAGCAACGTTTGTGCAGGATAGCAGAGGCCGAGTCACAGAGCGCCACAAATCCACGCTATGGAGTTTAGATTTAACCTTCCAGGCAATTGTGGGGTGGAGGGCAGAATTCAAAGTTCAGAAGCTGCAGAGTAACATTCAAAGAAGTATTTTAAAGAGAACCCAAAAAGGAGGAGAATGTTTTAATAGTCCATGATGAAGGCCTGGACTGCAGTGCTGGTAACAGGAGGGGAAGGAAAGGATAAACATAAAGGCATCAACTAAGAAACAACGTGTAAGAAGAGAAGGAAGGACTTGGGGCAAAAGCCAAGATTCAGGGCTGGGGCTGTAACTGAAATTATGACAACACAAGGGCTTTCTTGCATATCAAAAAACCTAAAGAAAATGTAATTTAAAAAGAATTATTTGCAGCATTATTTAAAATATCTGAGACATGGGAATAACCTAACTGCCCACACATAATGGAATGTTCTTCAGCCAGAAAGAAGAAAATTCTGCCATTTGCAACAACACGGATGGAGCTTGTGGGTATTGTGCTAAGTGAAATAAGTCAGAGAGAGAAAGATAAATACCATATGATTTCCTTGTATGTGGAATCTAAAAACAACCGAACTCATCGATACACAGAACAGACTGGCGGTTGCCAGATGCAGGGGGGTTGGAGGAGTGGGCAAAATGAGCGAAGGTAGTCAAAAAATTAAAAAGTCTTGGGGATGCAATGTACAGCATGGTGACTATGGTTAACAATACTGTACTCTATATTTGAAAGTTGCTAAGAGTAGATCTTAAAAGATCTCATCACAAGAAAAAAATTTGTAACTGTGTGGTGATGGATATTAACTAGACTTATTGTGGTGATCATTTCACAATATAGATATATATGGACTCATTATGTTGTACATCTGAAACTGACATAATATGTTAACTATATCTCAATTAAAAATACCCTAAAAATTACAAAATTCATAAGTTATATACTCTGATCTTTAAGAGAAAACACAAAACTAGAGCTGTGTGGCACTGAGAAAGGAAAGAAGGAAGGAAGGAGGGAGGGAGAGAAGGAAGGAAGGAAATAAGGAAAGAAGGAAGGAAGGAAAGAAGGAAAGAAGGGAGGAGGGGAGGGAGGGAGGGAGGGAAGTGAAGAGAAAAGAAGAGAAGAGAAGAAGGAAAGAAAGAAAAAGTCCTTCAAAGGTCACATTCACATCACTTGATACATGTAAACACCATTTGTTCTCTGAGCCACAAAATCAGGCAATTCCTGCTGCGGGATGGAGTCTGATGTGTAAAAACAGGGCAGAGTGTTCCACACACTATTGGAAAAAGGACCTGGTGTGTTCACAGAAAAATACCACAGTGTGCCACACATATGGGGTGGGGAGCGGTCAGTATGTATGTGATTACAAATAGTGGCACATGAGGACACAGTGAAGGCCAGTGAAGATTTCACTAAAGTGTTGGGGCTGCAGTGAATGAAAACTACCCCACCTGATCAACATGCTTCAGAAACACTACCAAGCAAACCGAACAATCAATTGTCATGTCCATCTGGCTACTCCTTGTATCTGTATCCACAGCTCTAGAGTAGCTTCTGCCCCACAGGGTCCTCATGGTGATCTGTGTTTTGTTTATGAAATCAAACCGGACCAGCATCAAGGGAAGTAAACTCCTTGAGAGAAAGCCGAAGCAGAATGTGAGCTCCAATGGCAATGAGAGCCTAAGGCCAGATCAAAGAACAGATGACCTTTTTTCCAGAAAAATATCAAGAACATTCTCGCAATCCAAGCTTATTCAAAAGCTATCCTATTCAGAGCAGAGATCCTTCCAGTCCCTGCCTAAAGGGGTTATGACCTCCTCTATTAGGGTACAAAGTACTTAATAAAGAAATTCCACGTGAATTATCTCTTACCATGACACCTGGAACTTTTACTACTAAAAAGAATTTATCTGCCACAGGTCAAATTAGGGGAATTATTTTTCAGTAAAACCCCTTACTCCCCAAAGTGGAATTAGACTACTTAGGAGGATCGGACACAGGGCTCTTTCCACTCTTCTCAATGTATCAGACAGGAACTTGGGTGCAGACTTCATCATTTAATAAGAAAAAGAGATAATCATTCTCTTATAAAGAAAATAAGTTCCTCATCCCTTATTTGCCTTCTAATATTCCTGCTTTGCATGCTCCATTTGCACTTGGTGTATCCTGAGGAATTGCTACAGAGCCGGTGACTCCTGGGAGTTATTAAAGTATACCTGTTTTGATTATTAATTCCTTTAACGGTAACAGAAGTCACCTTGAATGTAGAGAGTTAGCCTACTTGACAGAGGGGTCAATGGCTTGTAATAAGTCCTTGTGGTTACATTAAGAGGGAGGCAATTTCTTATACGATGGATTGTTTAAGCTCTTGCAATTGCTATTAAGATTTCCCTCAATTTGGCTGTGTCCTGGGGGCAAAACCTCTTGGCAGCTCAGCATGATATACAGAAACAACTTGTAAACAAATGCTAAAAGTGATCACAGGCCAAAAAGAACGACTGGTAAATACAAAGCCAAGAAAACCTTAAATGAGAACAGTCTTACAAATAAGGAGCCCCATCTTTCCTAAGTGAGAGAACTATCTCATCCGGACAGTGGAGGAAAAGATGAAATTGCACATCTTTTTACGGGTTAATTAAGAGCTCTCTGGCATAACTTCACGATTATACCAGCTATGATGCCCTTCTGCCTTTCAACAGAACCCTGTCCTAGTCAGTTATTAGTGGAGGGTCCCCCACTAGGTGGAAGACAGGCTAAGACTGAAAACTGAATAGTGTTTCTTACCCATGCCTTGATGTTTGAAGAATATTAAAAGACTGAGCACTTTGTCTACATGAGCAGAAACAGTCATGAGAATAGAAAAAGAAATCTAGGGATTGTCTCCTAAGTAATGAGCTAAGAAGTAGAACTTGGTTATATTTGCAACAACCGAGATCTGAGACACTTTGTCCTGGGTTCACATGAGAAACCAGAAATGTTTTTAAGGAACTGAGAGGAGAGTCATGTGCTCACTGGCACAGTTTGAATGCCAATCAGCTTTGCTGAGCCGAAGGCTAACATGAGCAGCTTCAGAAATCTCAACCTTGCCCCTCATAAGGCTGAGCAGTCAAGGATGCGGTTAATCCTACATTGTCCTATCCTTCTTCCAGAACATGTTAATACTCTTCGGTGTTAGAAGAGGAAAAGTTAGCATTTCTGCCAGAGTTAAACTCAGATTTTAATATGGAAAACATTAGCAAAGTTGGCAATATACATAAAAGCATTCTATCACTTCCCAACATGCTTTGTGAGAAAAATGCCTTCCTTTGCCATGACTTTCTGAAACAAATCAAAAAGTAAGTTTTTTTGAGGTAAAGATCTCATCTTTCCTTAAACTAAATTCTAGGAAGCAGCACCCATGACAGATACTTACTGTATCTAGGACTGCCAACACACAATAAGTGGGAAACAAGGAATTGATTTTTGGATTAAAAATTATTCTCATTTTTATAGATCAAATGTATACAGACTTCAAGCCTTGAACCGCAGAACCTTGCCACAGATCAACCAGATCCTAATATAAACAGGTATACTAATGTAAACTTACAACAATGGGAACCAGGTAATAACAACACTGCCATGCAAGAAATCCAAAATAGACATTTTAAATGACGAGGTAGGAAAATATCTAGTAAAATGGAAAGATGTTCCAGTATACTGCTTAACAAACAGGTTACCAAAAAAGCATCAGAGTACAGTTCTATTTTTGTAAAAATGTGTGTGTGTGTGCATGTACACATATAAGTAAACATTCATTTCGAAAAACACAAAAACCATGACTAAAAGGTGGTAGGATTATGAGTGATTTTATTTTCTTCTTTGCTTATCTGTATTTTGTAAATTTTCTAGAATTAATATGTGTTACTTTGGTATGAGAAAAATCAATTTTACATTTTAAAATAAATTTAGGGGCCGGCCCGGTGGCGCAGCGGTTAAGTGCGCGCATTCCGCTTCTCGGCGGCCCGGGGTTCGCCGGTTCGGATCCCAGGTGCAGACATGGGACCGCTTGGCAAGCCATGCTGTGGTAGGCATCCCACATATAAAATAGAGGAAGATGGGCACAATGTTAGCTCAGGGCCAGGCTTCCTCAGCAAAAAAAAAGAGGAGGACTGGCAGTAGTTAGCTCAGGGCTAATCTTCCTTAAAAAAAAAAAATAAAATAAAATAAAATAAATTTAAAGACACAAGTTCAGAATAATGAAACAGCCTATGTGTGGCCTGTTTCTCCGTCCTTGCCCTAACTAAAACACCTTCTCTGGAACTCTCCGTAGAAGTCTTCAATGATCCAAAGACATGATTAGATACTTGCTTCTATGCCAGTGAAGGTCTAGTAACTATAAGCGAGTGGTAAATTCAAAGACAGGAAAAGCCAGCCATTAGGGCACTCTTTTCCCTACCTGAGCATAACGTAGGAGCTTCTCAGTGGCCTCAGGGTCTTTATTCCAGATGAGATCTTCACAGAGCTGAAGAAGATCCTTATGGATATCATCATATACGGGGAGGTTTCCAGCGTTCACTATCCCCATGTCCATACCAAACTATGGCAATAAAAAGAAAAATGAGGATTTCCAGTGATACCCTAAACGAGGGGTCAGCAAACTTTTCCTGTAAGGGGCCAGATAGAAAATATTGTAGGCCATAGTCTCTGCTGGCCTAAAAGCAGACATGGACAATATACAAGCGAGTGGGTATGGCTGTGTTCCAATAAAACTTTATTCACAGAAACTGGCAGCAGGCCAGAGTTAGTCTGTGGGGGGGGGGGGGGGGCCAAAGTTTGCAAACACCTGCCCTAAGTAAAAGCTGATTTCAACAAGGAAAACAGGTTTTCTACTATACCTTGATTGCATGGTAAAGGAAAACCCCATGCATTGCTTCTCGAATGGCTTCCATTCCTCGGAAGGAGAAGGACAAATTGGAAAGACCTCCACTTATTTTGGCTCCAGGTAATGTTTCCTGGCAAAAAAAAAAAAAAGGCAAAAAGATCCTCCTATTTTGATAAAAGCAGCAGTCGTATCTCTTAAACTTTACACATAAGAATGGAAAGTAAAAAACATATAAAGTCCAAAGTAATTCAGAGCTTCTGGTAGCTAAACACAGACCAAAATTTGCCATATTATGGTGTCACAAAGGGACTGCCTCATAAATAGTTTTTCCTACTAGACTCTATTCTCCTTAAGCAAAAACAAAAAATTCTGCTTTACCTCTGTATGCCTCTGCAGTGACCATGATAAGGCACAAAACACACTGAGTGCACCATAAAATATTTGCTGGACAAATGACAGAGACAGAAAGAGACAGAGACAGACAACACTGAGAGAGAGAGAGACAGAGAGAGAGACTGAAAGACAGAGACAGACAGAAGCCTGTCATTCACTGAAAGCACAAGCTACTAGAAGGCTTCTATAACCTAAATGAACAAACTCCCTAGTTCATTATAAAATCAACCAATTATAAAAGGACAGGAGGGAATTTCCACCACACCTTTTGACAATGTCAAGCTGCAGCATGCATGTGGAACAACAGGAACTCATGCTTACTGTTCGTTAAAGTACGAACTAGATCAAGCATTTAGGGAGACAGCTTCCACTATCTACTACTATGACCCAACCATTCCACTTCTGGGCATACGCTATAGAGAAAATCAGCCCAAGATACATATACAAGACTGCTCATAGCAGCATTGCTCATCATGTCCAAAAACTGGAAACCAACCAAATTATCTATCAACAATAGAATGGTTAATTGTGGTATAGTTACACGAGAGAATATTATATATTAATAAAAAGGAACAAGTACAGCTGTAACAACACAGATGAATCTTTAAAATGAAGTCAGGTAAGGAAAGAAGGCATAAGAGTTCTAAGACTCTGCTTAGGGGCCGGCCCCATGGCCGAGTGGTTAGGTTCACACGCTCCACTTCAGTGGCCCAGGGTTTCACTGGTTTAGATCCTGGGCATGGACATGGCACCACTCATCAGGCCATGCTGAGGCGGCATCCCGCTTAGCACAATCAGAGGCACTCACAACTAGAAAATACAACTATGTATTGGGGCACTTTGGGGAGAAGAAGAAGAAGAAAAAAAAAGAAAAAGAAGATTGGCAACAGATGTTAGCTCAGGCGCCAATCTTTAAAAAAAAAAGACTATGTCTACATTAAGCTCAAAACAGGCAAAATTATACTGTTTATACAGTCGATTCCCATTATTTATGGTAGTTATTATTTTCTGTTAAGTCACCATGAACACTGAATCAGGAATACTGAAAACCACTGCTCCTGGGGGAAATACAGGGTTAGGTTCCTGTTAGCCTCTGGTCACCAAATTTTTATCAACTGATCATTATATTACCTTATTTTATGTGTGTCTCTGTTTAAAGACACCTTGTCTAATATATATTGTTTATTCATTAACATCAAGCTCACAGCCAACAGCACTATACCTCATGTCTAAACGAAGCTTATGTTAACAAAAGTATTTCCTCCATAAGGCACATCACAGCCTTCTTGTACTTAGGAACACTAGACAGCACTTCAGCACTATGCTTTGGGGCCATTTAAACAGAGAAATCACCAAGAAAAAGCTCAAAAATGTGAAAAACATGGTACTAACTAGACCATGAAAAAGACACGTTTACAGAATGAAAGCTGAAACAAGAAGGCAAAGCATGTACTTGTTGACTTTATCTGAGAACATGTGGGTCAGGCCACTTAAATTTTTCATCATTCTGTACATGGGTATGTCCGTGAATGACTCAAAAGCAGCACGAGCATTGATTTTGGGGTCGCAAATAAATTTTAGCAAGTAGATGAATTCGTAAATACAAAATCCATGGGTAATTCAGATTTACTGTACATATATAACTAATGAAATTATGAAGAAGAGCAAACAAAATATCATAAAACTCAGGATGATGGTTATTTCATAAAATTTAGAATGAGGGTTGTAATCAGAAAGGGAGAGTCATGGGCACACTAGCTATAGTCTATGTCAGGACGCAAGTGAAAGCTATTATATGCTTTATAATTAATTACTTACTAGACTCTATTTTTAATATATTCTCCAGTGTGTGTGTTATACTTCACAGTTTAAAGTAACATATAAAGCAAAAATAATAAAGGCCCCTAAATTTCAGAAAACCAATTTACTATGTAAGAACAAGAATGCCAACATTCCCAGCCAATAAATAGATATATGTTAGCTGAAACTATTCACTGGAGCCACGTGATAAATTTGAGCAATGTTTTGGATAGAAGAGAGAAAATGCCTATACTTACTTTAATGGCTTTTGTTGCATGGATAAAATTAACAGCATACAAATTGTGTTCTTCCATCCCAGTACCAATGGTGAGGATATTAGGGTCAAAGATGATGTCATTTGGATTAAAGCCCAGTTTTTTCACAAGTAGATGGTAGGCCCGGGTGCACACTCTAGTTTTGGTGTCTGTTTCTGTCGCCTGGGGAAGGCAGCAAAAGATGTAATTCGAAATAGAAAAATGAAGTGTTATCTATACAAACAGAAGCACATTTCACTTGCCAAAAGCTCTTAAGTATCAATGCTTGGACTTCATAGAAATCCAAATGCCAAGCAGTCTCTAAACACTTATCAAATGATCTCAGAGGAGGAATTGGTCTACAGATCCCTTTGTGGTTTCATCAGCACAACAGCTACACTGCTTCTGTAAAAATCAAATCTTACACACGTGTATATGGTATATTAATAAACAGGCTTCTCAAAAACACAGACACGATAAAAATTCACATAAAACTAAAGAACAAATTAAAAAATAAGTGTTTCTCCTTTCTTGGCCTGCCTGCAGTGTCTTAACCTATCACCCAGGCAACACTGCCATAGCTTTCTTGGCTCTTCCAACATTCTGCAGAGACACGCATTTATTCCCCATCTCCACCCACCACGACACTAGCTAGTTAACACGCACACTTTAAGTCACTAATATAAATTAAATTAGCGTTACTCTTCAAAACAGTGACCCTAGAAAGCAAAACCCTGAATCCAGGAAGGCTTCCCATCACCCTGAAACTCAGGGCATACATCTCCAATTTTATTTCCTCTCATCTGCCCCTTGTCGACTCGACTCTCCCTACACTGCTCCTTTGATGTTCTTGAAACCCAACAAGCTTGTCCTATCTCAGAGCCTTTCTACTAATTGCCGCCACTGCCTAGAACACACTGCGACATGGCTTTTTATGCACATCAGTCAGGCCTCTGCCCAAATATCCTTTTTCAGAGAAGGCTTCCTTAATCATCCTCTCTAAATCAGCCCCACTACCACCTCTCCTGCTTCCTCCCTTCTTCATCGCATCTCTTTCCAGAAATTCTATCTATTTGGCAACTTGTTAACTATTTTTTGTTCCTTGTTTTATTATTTATTATTAATTTGTCAACTTGCTGGAATGTCAGTCTTGCTGTATCCCCAGTGCCTAGAGCAATGCCTGTCAGAGCTGTACCCAACATTATTTGTTCAATGAATGAATGGATGGTGGTTTCACTCAAAGCATTTCTGAACTCTGTCATGGAAACTGTCTTCAGATCAAGTTTACAACCTCAACGCAGGGCTTGTTCAAGAAACTACATGCTGAATGATTTCTGGTTGTTATCAAAAATCAAATCTCCTCTGAAGAAAAAATGAACACTATCACTACAGTGATTCCAAAAAAATAAGCCACATACAATTCTGAATAAATGTGGAAAATGTTCTTGAAAAATGGCCAACACCAGTGAATTAAGTGTTGAGTCTCTTCCAAGCTGACGACTTTGAGGGAGGACATCCTTGGCTGGAGGTGAGCACTAAGTGTGTTAAAGAATCAGTTCCTGATCTCACAGATCGTGACCTCTAGAGGGAGCTCTCCAGACAAATGCAGAGATGAGGGACACGGACACTGACACAGCTCAAGGAAACTTAGAGAGGCCCCATCTTCCAGAGAGAGAAAGGAGTGGTGGGGAAATTATGAAAAGAACTCACTCTTAGATGTGGGCTTTTGATTGCTTTACCTACTTTGGTATTCTTTTTCAGCTGGTCTCCCTGGTTTCTCATCTCTCCCTGCTTCCTGCATTTGGTGGGGTCAGAGTTCACCTCCTGCTGGGGAAGTACCCCCATGACTTAGCAGGCCCCGGGGCTGAGGGACAGGGAGACAAGGAGTGGGCTCTGCGGCCCCCACTGCTCCAGGCTTTAGAGAAGGTGGCAAGCTCTCATCTTCCTTAACTGCATTTCTTCAACAACTTACTTCTTCCTTCAGCTAGAGTGATAAAGTTAAGGTTAAGACCAAGATGTGGGCCCACAAGAAAGCAGTCAAAAGCAGGACACCCAGAGCTGCCTTTAGTCTTGGACTTTAGTTTACCAGAGGGCCAAACAGAGTTCTAGGTTCTAGGTCCATGACCCAGCTAAGCTCACTAAGGAGAAGGCACAGGGGTTTGGGGCTACCAGTGCTGCTAGTATTTCTTAGTAACCTAGTTGGCTGGTAGGTCAAGAAATCAAGGTCCTGGTGCTTTCTCTCTGAGCTATGAATGACATCTGGCTGAGTTTGGCAGACTCAGTATGTTACGCATGGGGGCAGGGGCTGGTGTCTAGCTGTGTACCAGAAGGCAGCCCTGCACGTGCAACAAGCAGGAGGGTCCTCACAGGACAGGAATTCATTTGTAAGGCCAGCATTGAATCCTCATCATCAGCTCCATAAGGATGAGGCCCTTGTCAAACTCTTCTCGTAGCACCTAGCACAGTACCTGCCACATTAAGAGACACTCAACTCTTGTCTGTTGGATAAACAAACGAATCTGAGAATGAACAGAGTTTCAGTGTACAAGCCTCTGCCAGGATCAGGTCATATCATGTTAGAGTCCCCAAGGTTCTCTTTGTCTTGTTCCTCAGCCAGGGCTGTGAGATAAACACACCAGTAAGCCTCGGTCATGCTTGAGGATTTCACAGATCCAGAAGAAAGGATCAGTGAAAGAAGAGAATGGAGGCTTCCTCTGTTAGGAAGGGCTCTGGTTGCACATTCTAATAAGCTGGAGGGATTTTTGTTTTCTACTATTAATACCTGAACCTCACTCTGGACCAGTGAAATCAGAATCTTGAGATGAGGCCTAAGCAACAGTATTTTTAAGAGCCCCTAGTGATTCTAACGTACAGCCAGGATAAGAACTACTGATGAGATGGCAACTTCTTAGGTTAAGCTAGAAGAAAACCTCAGTGACAATACCACAAGTCTAAGGGTCAAGAAAAAAAGGAAATAACTATCTTTTATGATTTTATGGGCCATGTTTACTGTGAAGCTGTAGACAAACTAGATAGCGATCAGTGGGTGGAGGCTTTAGTTAAGAAATCCACTGCTGAGACTTTCTAGAATATCAGACACTTAGGGAGAAATAAGATAAACTCAAAACAATTTTGACTTAGTCATCAAGGCAGATACTGTGAGAAAGAGAAAGAGAAAGGGTAGAAGACACCTAGATTCCATAAAAATGCAGCCTGACAAGGAGCAGAGAGGGATCTGGACCAACCTCAGAGGTAGGTTAAAGGCTTCAAACCCAAGAGAACTAGCTTAGACTGGACCAGGGACGCAGCAGGAGGCCCATCCTGCTGCCACAGAGTTCAAAAAAGGAGGGATGGAAAGGGACGTTTGTGCCACTGTCAGAAGGGCGCTGACAAATCAGAAGGAAAAAAGCTGAAGAAAGGGAAATTTTCAAGGGAAAAACACATGGCAAAAGACATTCTGTCTTCACAAAATCACTGAGGGCACAGGCCCAGTTCAGAAATCTTTTGAATGAATTCTCTACTGCGGCAAATGTGTGGACACAGCAGCAGAAGGCAAGCATCAGCCTAGAGCCCAGGCAGAATCAGCAGTCCCGAGGGCAGGAGTGAAGGCTCGGCACAAAGACAGCTGAGACCCCACCCGCAGGGGAAGACCAGAGCAGAGCACTGAGCTGGGCTGTGGGAGATGTGAAGCCAACCTGGAACGCCTCCTGGTTCCCTCCTCCCCTGAAAGAGCGGAGGCTGTGCCTCTGGCAGACTCACACTCAAGACAGAATGTGGATGCCAGGAACCCAGGATTGAGGAGGAAATGGAAGGATTTCAGACACAGAAACGAGACTGAGAGGCAATCTCCACACAGCTAACACTGAGGAGGAGAAAAGGGTCTCAGTTACAATCTAGGAACTGCAGGTGCCACCACCGAAAGCTTCTCAACTTTTAAAGAAGGCAAGGTTGTTTTAAAGGTGACTATCCAGGAAAGGATGCAAGTTCTGTGGGGAGTGAGAGGGAGAAAAGAGAAGAAAATTCTTAATATCTGTATCAATCCCTGGGTAGGGCAAAGGATGGATCTGCTTTTTAGGGCCAGAACCGAATCATCAACTATCAGCTCCATAAGGATGAGGCCCTTGTCAAACTCTTCTCGCAGCACCTAGCACAGTACCTGCCACATTAACAGACACTCAACTCTTGTCTGTTGGATAAACAAATGAATCTGAGAATGAACAGAGTTTCAGTGTACAGGCCTCTGCCAGGATCAGGTCATATCATGTTAGATTCCCCAAGGTTCTCTTTGTCTTGTTCCTCAGCCAGGGCTGCGAGATAAACCCTTGGCTCCATCATGTCCTGGCCCTTTGACTTCGGCTCATTGTAAAATGGTATGACAGCTACCCCAGGTGGTTGCTATGACGACTAAATGAGATAAACTCCACTGATTTTTGACCAGAGTAGATGAGAATCACCCCCAAGGCTTTAAAATTCCTAAAGCCAGGTCACATCCCAGACCAAATGAGTCAGAAATTCAAGCGGTGGGGCCCAGAGGCGTGCATGTTTTTTAAAAGCACTGGCAGTGACTACCCTCCCCTCTGGAAGTGCTTCTGCTTTAAACTCCTGGTTCAGCATCACAGGTATACAAAGCACACAATATGCCATTCTCATTCTCAGAGTTGACCCTGCTTCCTACTTCACTGAGAAAACAGAAGCAATCATAGACTCCCACCAGCACAAAGACCAGCGCGCCTGTGGGTCTGCACTCTTACACTCTGCCTCTCTCCCACACTGTGAGCATACTGCCTCCCCCTCTCCTTGCACACTGATTATCACCCCCCTCAATTCACGGGGTCGTGGACCTACCAAATGCCCCCTTTCTCTCATGCATCAACTCCTCCCTCTCTCTCTACCAGATCATTCCGATGAGCTTACAAACATGTTGTCACGTCATCTGTTTTCACACACAGACACACACACAGACACAAGGACAAACACACAGACAGCCTTTCTTAACCCCATATCCATCTCTAGTTTCCACCCTATTTCCTGTTCCTCTTTACAGGAAAACTCAAAAAAGTTGTTTACACCTGCTACCTCCAATCCCCCTATTCTCTTTTGAACCCACTCCAATTAAGCTTTTATCTCCTTGGAAACAGAACAGCAAGATCATAAGCTACTCCACTTCTAAATCCAATGGTAAA